ATCGCCCGGTACTGAGGCTCAATTGCGCGGCAAGAACCCAGGTTGATCGGTTGCGCAACTGCGATATCCCCTCGAACCGAACCCCGAATACGAACGGCGGGACATAGCAAGTGCAGGACGGCGACGACAAAGCAGAAGGAGAAAGACGGCCGAAAGAGAGAAAAGAAGGAGATCGTGAAGCACTCCCACAAACCGAAGTGAAAGCAAACGGCCAAGGACAACACAGAATCCATCCATCAAGCACGGCGTTCCACCCTCCGCCAAACCGCCACCATGTCAATCTTCTTCTCAACCCCCGTCGACATCGACATCGTCCTCGATGACCCCGACAACCGCACCATGGTCGACGTCAAGCTCGACAAGAACCGCCGCGAAAAGGCGCCCCTGTACATGGACGGCGAGTCCGTCAAGGGCGCCGTGACGGTCCGCCCCAAGGACGGCAAGCGCCTCGAGCACACGGGCATCAAGGTCCAGTTCATCGGCACGATAGGTACGCACCTCAACCACTATGACCAGAGCCCCGGCCCCACGCGCGGCGGCAGCCGTCGTTCTTCCTCCTCCCTCGCCGGCCTCCTGACGCCCTCGTGGAGCGCGCCCGCCATCCGCCTGGGCCTGCAGCAGCAGCGTCGGCACCACCTTACTGACGGGCTGGTAGAAATGTTCTTTGACCGCGGCAACCACTACGAGTTCCTCTCGCTCAACCAGGAGCTCGCCGCGCCGGGGGAGCTGCAGCACCCGCAGACGTTTGACTTCAACTTCAAGAACGTCGAGAAGCAGTACGAGTCGTACAACGGCATCAACGTCAAGCTCCGCTACTTTGTCCGCGTCACCGTCTCGCGCCGCATGGCCGACGTGATCCGCGAAAAGGACATTTGGGTCTACAGCTACCGCATCCCCCCGGAGATGAACAGCTCCATCAAGATGGACGTCGGCATCGAGGACTGCCTGCACATCGAGTTCGAGTACAGCAAGAGCAAGTACCACCTCAAGGACGTCATCGTCGGCCGCATCTACTTCTTGCTCGTCCGGCTCAAGATCAAGCACATGGAGTTGTCCATCATCAGGCGGGAGACGACGGGCGCCGCGCCCAACCAGTACAACGAGAGCGAGACGCTGGTGCGCTTTGAGATTATGGACGGGTCGCCATCAAGGGGCGAGACGATACCAATCCGGCTCTTTCTTGGCGGCTTTGATCTGACGCCCACCTTCCGAGACGTGAACAAGAAGTTTTCCACGCGGTATTATCTCAGTCTCGTTCTCATTGACGAAGGCAAGCCGTTCCCCATGAATGACTATCTCATAGATGCGTCTTTTACTGACTCTATCTCTGCATGAAGACGCCCGACGATACTTTAAGCAGTCGGAAATTATCCTCTACCGCCAGGCCCCCGACACACCTGCTGTCCAAGGCATCCAAGGCGTGCCTCCTCCTACCGAGAACAGAGTCGCCGCTATTCAGGCGTGAGGGCCGAAAGAGTTCAAGTTCTAACTTCCCTCGGATAAATCGTTGAACCAGTTTCTGAATTCTCCTCAGCCATATCATCCCATCACTAATCTGCTCTTCTCATTTCTAGCGTTAGGGGGAGGGGGCTTGTTCTTTTTTTTTCCCCTTTCCTTACTCAAAACTACCTTACTTGGCGTTTTACGGAAGATGAGCCGTCTGTATGTCTGTCTGTTTTTTCTCGATTCTGTACGAAACATGTGTTGTTGTAGATGATATATAGGTGCATAAAGTACAGCGTCTTGCCCTTTTGCAACGGCACGGGTTGAATCACGAAGTGAGTCTTCAAGAAGATTTGCCTATATAAGCCGGTTTGATCACCCTCTCCTGAGATGTCAACTTGAGGATAAATGAACGATGGGGACCATCAGTGATGCTCGAAGAACTAAGAGTTGTTTATTCAATCTTTTACCCCCTCTAAGGATGTCAAACTCATATGACCCTTACTTCGCGTCCTCTCGCCCGCCGACATACCCTATACAGTACGAAACAGCAGCTGATGGAGTAAAAAGGCACAAGAACCTACTACTATAAGTAGGGGACATGGCTCGCGGTGTATACTGTACTTCCCTGCATTACGCTCATTGCGTTTCTTTCAACTGTGTCAAGCCCAAGTGCCTCAAAGGGTCCTGTATCTTGTTTAATCAGTACTTATATAGCAAGCTCAGGCCGTCCGTATAGACTCTTGAGGAGACTTCAATCTCCGTCCCAGAAGTTAACAATAAACAAACAAATTAACAAACAAGATAGAGCAAAAGTCCCTGTTCATCTACATGTCAGACATTTTCTACTAGACCTGCATTTTCGTCTAGAAATGCTTAATTCATCCATACCCATCTCTCCTTCATCCTAGCCCGTTCTCCCCCCCCTTTTCACCAAGGTACATAACAAAAGAAAATAATGCCATTCCTCCAAGATACATAACACACAGCTCATGAAATATCCATTACATCACCCGCCTCAAACCCAAACTGGTTATTCTGAATCGCCGCAATCCGATCCAGCTCATCCTGGTACTGCTTCCGAATGTCCGCCAGCGAAACGACCTTGCGCTTGGCAACGCCGTTGTCCCCCTCGGGCACGCCCTCGTCAAAGATCCACGCCTGCTTGGCGTCGACGCAGCTCAGCGCGTTGATGAGCAGCAGGTACTGCCTCGTCACCGGCGTGTCGAGCACGTCCTCGCCCGCGATCTGGTCGCCCTCGCCGGCCAGCCTCAGCTTCTGGATCTTGTCGAGGATGACGGACGCGGCGCCCCGGTAGTTGTTGTGCTTGATCCGCCACGAGTACAGCACCTGGTGGTAGGGGAACGCGTGCATGACGTCCATGATGGTCTTGCAGCGCAGCGACAGGATGTCGTCCACCTCCTGCTGCATCCCGGGGAACGGCAGCGTCACCAGCTCCGAGTTGTGATACGTCTCGCACATCTTATCCACGAGTTTCCGCAAGTTGTAGTGCCGCAGGGCTTCGTCCTTCATCGACAGCAGCGTTGTGTGGGCCAGCTCGAACTGGGACGTGGCCAACGCCGCGTTGAAGAGGCGGCTCAGCATGTCTGTCTTGATGCTGGCGTTTTCTGGCTTGCTCCCGATGAACTGCATGGATAACCGAGCAAACTCGACCACATAGGAATATGCTCTCTGCTTCTCAAACAGGGCAACAATGTGTGAGTAGTACTGGGCCATTCCGCTGTTCAAAAGGTTCCACTCCGTGTCGTCAAGCAGACCGCTGCTATGGCGCTCGAGCTCAACCGTTGTGCTACCTGTGACGGGGATTAGCTTAGGCTCAATGCATCAGAGACTCTCATCCCAGAACTTACCCATCCCGACAGCTGCCTTTCTGAATTTGAAAGACGCCGACTCAAAGTCTTTCAACGCCAACAAGACCCGGCCGTGAATGTAGATGGAAAAGGGATTTTGGTCGCAAAACGGTTCAAGGTCCAGTGCCAGATCCGCTCTGTCGCGCTTGACGAGGGAGCACTGTATGAGTGACGGGGACACCTCGATATCGCCATTGGGTGAGCAGAGGTTGGTAACGAGATCGGTGATGCAGATTGCGAGCGACTCGCCCGGCAGCCCCTGCAAGCCCAGTAAATGGCCGACGTTGGCTTCCAGTGCGGTCACCACCTGGACATCCTCTCCTCTTTTTGTTAGAGAAGATAGGCTGTGCTCGGGTAGCGGAATGGCCAGTTCGGTCTGGGAAAGCCACTTGAGAAGCTCCAGCCTCTTCAATATCGCGAGGAGCTGTCGGAAGACGGTCCCGACATCAATCCTGTTGTGGAGGATCTCTTCTTCCGAGTCAAACTCATACTCCATATGGACGAGGAGAATGAGCTGACTGAAGCATACTTTCCATTGCAGGGCAATGTTGTCTTGCGCCGCCGTCATGACGAGCTTCCTGCCAAACTCCGTCAGGGGATGGTTGGGGCTTCGGCTCCTGTCGTCCAACGGCGTGACTATGAGGCCGAGCACCTTTCGATAGAGCTCGTTGGTCACGGCTGCAAAGTTGGTGTCCAGCGTCTCCACCACCTGCTGGGCGTCTTCCTCTGTGATGCCTCGCCAGAAGCCGGCCTTGTCTGAGAAGTACTGTATCCGCTGGATATCTGTCTTAGAGGATTCTCCAAACAGCTCATGCCTCAGCGCAGCAGTGCACGTCTGCACCACATTGTCCGGGAACCCTTCCACCAGCGTTAATCCGGCACCGATCAAGTCAGCTTGCCTCACCGATCCTTGATCCGGCGTGGCTATGTTGTGATAGAGTCGTTCCAGGTGACTGCATTCCCGGACGGAAGATATGAGATCCGCACACACCACCCAAACCATGTCGGCATCCGCATCAAAGGCCATGCCGATAGCCTCTCCTCGCTGCTTATCGAGCTCATTCAGCAACCGGTAGAACCTCCTCCACTGGGTCTCGCTAGACGATCGGAACTGCTCGTAGTCCATCTCGCCCATTGATCCGCGATCCAGCGTTGCAGTGGAACCCAGGACCGAGCAAATTGACTCAGCCAGGCCACGCCCCTTGTTGTTCTCCCTTGGAGCGCCCAAGCCACGCTCATATATGGCAAGCGCAGCTTCGAGAGTCGCTTTGGTAAACCTCCCTGGCTGCAGAATCATCTGCAGCCACTTCTCCGTGACATCAGTGGGGTCGCAGGGACCCGACGTCTGTACAGAAAGACTTCGCTGCTCGGAATATACGCCGTCCCAGCTATCCTCCCACGACTGCGCCATATTCTTCCGATCAAGCTCCAATCGCTGAACTCGGTATGTCATGTTGTTCTTCCAAAGGGTCCACAAGCTGATTTGACCTTCCTCTGAGGAGGCCAGCACGAAGTCGGCCAACGTCCAGATATCCGAAGATGACGGGGTGACTGGGATTAGCGAGCACTTGGAGAAGAGATCCTCAATGACAACGTTATGGGCATCCTTGGCGGTTATCTTCCAAAACTTAAACTCCCCAGGGCCAATGGGCGAGTAAGTCGCACAGATTCTCTGGCCGCGAGTCCGGCCAACAATCCTGAGGAGATTCGACTGTGCCGGGTCAATCGACCACTTGCCCAGCTCCTGAGGCGGCCTCTCCACGTTCAACATGTCCAGTGTCTGCAGAATCTGCCCGTCGTTGGCATTCCAGATACGGATTCGGTGGTCGAGGCAAACGGTGACTGCGAACAGGCAGTTGTCGAGCCCAAAGTCGGAGATGTCGATGGATGTCGCGGTGCTGTATTCCATGTTGGCCTTTCCGTACCTGATGGTGTGTTTACCGTGGAACGGCAAGAGACTCCGTAGATTCTGCGCCCATCCCTGGACGTTGAAGAAGGATTCTTTCCACAGCGCAGTCGATACTACCCAGAAAAAAAAGTTAGACGTGTGCCATTAGACAAGAACGGTTTTATCCTCCCAACGTACCATCGTCTCCCTTCTGCCTGTCGAACCGAATCATGCCGCCATCATTGACCGTAACAAGAAGCGTATTGGCCGACACAGCCACCATGCGATGAGGATACTTGAAGCTGAGACCAGCCGGCGACTGGACCTTGCAGATATCGGGCAGCCCAGCATCCACGGCGCCTCGCCTCTTGAAGAGGTCCGGCCGCAGGGTGAAGGTGTACAGGTAGCAAGCCTGATCCAGCACATGCACGCACAGCGCATCGTGCTCCTCCGGGTCCGAAAACACCACGCATCCCTGCTGGATGGGCGCCGTGAAGTGGAAGTTGATGATGAGGGACGCATCGGCCGCCTTGTCCTTCTTGCTGACGTCCACCGCGCGGATGCTCAGCAGCGTGCCATCCTCCAGCACCCTCCACAGGAAGTTGCGCGGCGAGTCGTGCCATTTCCGCCTGTAAATCGACGCCGCGGTGGCCAGGTTCTTCAATCGAAAGGTCGTCTCGTCCTCGGCATCGTGCGACAGCTTGGGCCTGCCTCTGCTGCCTGAGCCAGCGGGCACTCGGATGGTGACGACGGAGGACGGGGAGGGAGGTTCGAGGTTCAAGCGGGTCTCTTTGAAGAGATACTGGAGATCACTTGAATCCATCGCGCCTCCCTGAAGCGCATGAGGCGATGCAGCTTGTGTGGATTGAACGGAGTGGCGGGCGAGGGAATGGCGCTTCGTTCTTTTTTTCCTTGGTTTCCTCTGGTGGTTGGTGATGCTCGAGTTTGGTCGCGTTAGAAGGGCAGCAGAATTTCTGTTTCGATTTCGACGTCGCGCTGCGCTAGCCCGATTGGGAAATCAACTCAGATTCACTGTTGCAGGCATTTGGTGCATTGCAGTGGTGGTACGAATAGAGACGAAAGATAGAATTAGAGAAGAATTATGGGATTTGCAGAGAAGTAAAATCATTGAGATTGTAAGAGTTCAGTTTCTCATCTATGCGTACGCGTGACTCCATGCAATCATGCATCTATGCGTCCATCCATCATTCCCCCCCTTCCACTTTATACCTCCCGGTAGCAAACATAAAACAACGTACAAGCAACCAACCATAGAGCAAAACGCCAGAAAAAAAAAGAAAAAAAAAAAATAACCATATACCTTCTCCATATGACTCCAGTTCTTCTTTTTGTTCTTCATTTCTCATTCGTCACAAAGTTCCCCATTATTCGTTCAGTCCTTCTCCTTCTCCATGTCCTTTGGCGCCGGATCACCAATGCCATCCTCGCCAATGGCAAACAGCGTGTCACTCTCCGGCAGACAAGGACTGTCGTAAATCTTGGCAATTCGAGTCTCTCCGCGTCCCTTCTTCAGGCTGATTCGAGTTGTGCTGGCATGGGCAATGATGTTGCCGCCGATGGGCTTCTTCGGGTCAGGGTTGAACATGGCACTCGGTCCACCGTCGACCTGCGCGACAACCTGGTTGGTGATGACAACAGCAATGCCAAACTCGTCTGCAAGCCGCTGCAGGGTTCTCATGAATTTGGCCAAATGCGTCTGACGGTTCGATAGCTCGCCTCGGCCGGTAAAGTCCGTTCGGTAGAGCGAAGTGGCGCTGTCGACGATGAGCAGCGAAAACCTCGTCTCGCACATCATGGCCGCTGCCTGGTTCAGCAGCTGGAGCTGATGGTCTGAGTTGTACGCCCTCGCATACGCAACGTTGTCCAGGACTTCTTCCCCGGACAGGCCAAATCGATTGGCAACGGCCAGCAGTCGGACGGGTCGAAAGGTACCCTCGGTATCAATGTACAGACATTTGCCTTCGCCGCCGCCCATGTCGAAAGGCAGCTGGCACGTCACAGCCAGAGTGTGGCAGATCTGACTCTTGCCTGTCCTAAACTCCCCAAACAGCTCGGTAACGGAGCCGGTTTCTATACCTCCAGCTAGAAGAGTGTCCAGGTTCTTGGATCCAGTGGTGATGGAGATGAGTTCACTCCGCCGCTGGTGCATCTCAGTGGCTGTCGTGAACCCCATGGGCACAAGTTTTGAAGCTTTGGCTACATTAGAGTGCATCTTCAATCCAAATCGGGCGATGCATTCAACATACCTTCAGCCAAGATCTTGGTCGCCTTCTGCTCTGAAATGCCCTTGATCTGCTCCAGCACCCTGCGCGGGGTGTAAGCCACCGACTCGACGGTGTTGAACCCGCCATCAACGACGAGTTGGATGTCACGCTTTGTCAATCCAGCAACTCCCTGATAATTGCATCAAAGATCATTATCAGCACAAGCCTCAAGAACTCGACCAGCGCCATCGTCCTACCTCCAGAGCAGAGAGCGGCGTGGGCGCACCAGGGCCAGTCATGCCGCCCTCTTCGGCCACCTGGTTCTCCTCATCATACTCGTCACTCATTCTGACGGCCTGAAATAATCAAGTTGCTCACACAACGAAAGAAAAAGCACAGAGATACGCTCTGCAGGGATTTTAAAGGACGCAGCAGCCACCGTTAGGCAGAAATGAGGCGAAAGGCACGAGGATGTTGACAAGCAAGGCGCGGGTCGACGCGTCGAGTCGGGCTTAGCAGGGGAATAGGCTGACGCCAGATCACGTGTCTCCGCAATTGATTTCTAAGGCAATTAAAAGCTGTGGAGAGAGAACAGGCACCTATCAGACTATCGCGCAGTCATCAACTTCACTTTGGTCACCTTGAGAAGAATTGCACGTGGATTAAAGAGCGTATAACTCTTACTCAATTCTCTCTGTATTCGTCATGCTATCGAAAAGCGAGCCGGTTTCAAACAAGCTCAGTCGACGAGTCCAGTTGAACGAATCGCAGATGGTGTTCGTGGGCCAACCAGAAGCTGACTTACATATCAATGAATGAACAGGTTCGAATCAGCTGGTGCTTTGGCGGGTTATGTTGCGAAGCTGGACTGGTCATCCACATACACAAATCAGACTTGACTCTGCTCGAGCTCTGGCGTGATTTTGTAAGAGACTCCAGAAACTGCATGCAAATGCAAATAACTGTAGTAACAGGCTAAAACAGTTGCATTGTCTGATGTGAGTGGCGCGCATAGCACAGCTACACCAAAGTTCCACATCCCGGGTTTCCTTTATTTATCCATATATTAAATCTCTAAGCATCTTGCCTTTATAGTTACATCCGTTGCGACTTAGTGAAAGACTGAGAAGCAGCCTATAAGGTTATACAGACGACTTGCATGGCGCTGGGCTTTCTAGGTGGTAATTTAGGCAATACTCGCTCCTCGTTGCGAAACCTAGCAACGATATGGTGAATCCATGGTCTCGACGGAATCAGAACTGCCTTAAATAGCATATAAACCTCCAGCTTCCCCCAGGATGAAAATGGCTCCCTTTACTAGGAGTAGACTTCGAGACAGACTCGAGCAGTTGACTTTCCTCCTCACTGCTTCGCCATGAAGGTTTCCCGTGTCGTTGCCCTCGTCCTAGGGGCCGTCATCCCTGCCCATGCCGCCTTCACATGGAAGAACGTCAAGCTCGGCGGCGGCGGCGGCTTCGTCCCCGGCATCGTCTTCCATCCCAAGACAAAAGGCGTAGCATATGCGCGGACGGACATTGGCGGGCTGTACCGCCTCAACGCCGACGATTCATGGACCGCCGTCACGGATGGAATCGCTGATAACGCCGGTTGGCACAACTGGGGCATAGACGCCCTTGCGCTTGATCCGCAGGACGATCAAAAGGTGTATGCCGCAGTCGGCATGTATACGAACAGCTGGTTCGTGCAGCTCCCCAACATCAGAACCAAAAGGTTGACAACATATGAGCCGCTGACACGTCCATGTATATACATATATAGGGACCCCAGCAACGGAGCCATCATCCGCTCGTCAGACCGCGGCGCTACGTGGTCCTTCAGCAACTTGCCCTTCAAAGTCGGGGGCAACATGCCAGGACGCGGAGCGGGAGAGCGTCTGGCTGTGGACCCGGCCAACTCCAACATCATCTACTTTGGTGCTCGGTCAGGAAACGGCCTCTGGAAGTCCACCGACGGCGGCGTCACCTTTTCCAAGGTCTCGTCGTTCACGGCAACCGGGACGTACATACCAGACCCAACCGACTCGAGCGGCTACAACAGCGATAAGCAGGGGCTCATGTGGGTGACATTCGACTCAACCAGCAGCACGACCGGGGGAGCCACGTCTCGCATCTTTGTTGGCACGGCTGATAACATCACCGCCTCGGTCTACGTGAGCACCAATGCCGGCTCCACGTGGAGCGCTGTGCCTGGACAGCCGGGAAGATACTTTCCTCACAAGGCCAAACTGCAGCCAGCAGAGAAGGCGTTGTATCTGACGTATTCCGATGGCACAGGGCCGTATGACGGAACGAGCGGCTCGGTATGGAGGTACGATATCACAGCTGGGACTTGGAAGGATATCACTCCGGTCTCTGGATCGGATCTGTACTTTGGCTTTGGCGGTCTTGGTCTTGATTTGCAGAAGCCGGGAACCCTTGTTGTTGCCTCCCTGAACTCTTGGTGGCCAGACGCTCAGCTGTTCCGGTCCATCGACTCTGGGACGACGTGGAGCCCCATCTGGGCGTGGGCGAGCTATCCGACGGAGACGTATTACTACAGCATCTCGGTAAGCCATTCTTGACGAATTGGTTCGGATGACATACTGATTATGCTTCTAGACCCCCAAAGCTCCGTGGATCAAGAACAACTTTATCGATGTGACCAGCGAGTCGCCCTCTGACGGACTCATCAAGCGCCTGGGCTGGATGATTGAGTCGCTCGAGATCGACCCGACCGACAGCAACCACTGGCTCTACGGAACCGGCATGACAATCTTCGGCGGCCACGACCTGACGAACTGGGACACAAAACACAACGTGTCCATCCAGTCGCTGGCGGACGGCATCGAAGAATTCTCCGTCCAGGACCTGGCCTCTGCCCCCGGCGGAAGCGAGTTGTTGGCAGCAGTAGGAGACGACAACGGCTTCACCTTTCCGACCAAGAACGACCTCGGTACCTCGCCGCAGACGGTCTGGGCAACTCCCACATGGGCCACCTCTTCTAGCGTCGACTACGCCGGCAACTCGGTCAAGAGCGTCGTCCGCGTCGGCAACACCGCCGGCACGCAGCAGGTCGCCATCTCGTCCGACGGCGGCGCGACCTGGAGCATCGACTACGCGGCCGACACCTCCATGAACGGCGGCACCGTGGCGTACTCGGCCGACGGCGACACGATCCTGTGGTCGACCGCCTCGTCTGGCGTGCAGCGCTCGCAGTTCCAGGGCAGCTTTGCCGCCGTCTCCAGCCTGCCCGCCGGCGCCGTCATCGCCTCGGACAAGAAGACCAACACCCTCTTCTACGCCGGCTCCGGATCGACCTTTTACGTCAGCAAGGACACCGGCAGCAGCTTCACGGCCGGGCCCAAGCTGGGCGGCGCGGGTGCCATTCGGGACATTGCCGCCCATCCGACAACCGCGGGCACCTTGTACGTCTCTACCGACGTGGGCATCTTCCGCTCCACAGACTCGGGCACGACCTTTACCCAAGTTTCCACCGCTGTGACAAACACGTACCAAATTGCCCTTGGTGTCGGCTCCGGCTCGAACTGGAATCTGTATGCCTTTGGGACCGGTCCGTCAGGGGCTCGCCTCTACGCCAGTGGAGACAACGGCGCCTCCTGGACGGACATTCAAGGCTCCCAAGGCTTCGGCTCCATCGACAGCAACAAGGTCGCCGGCAGCGGCAGCGTCGCCGGGCAAGTATACGTGGGCACCAACGGCCGGGGCGTGTTTTATGCTCAGGGAACGGTCAGCGGCGGCACAGGTGGCGCAAGTTCCTCCTCGACCAAGCCGAGCAGCAGCGCCTCTTCCGCCAGGACGAGCACCACGCTGAGGTCGAGCGTTGTGTCTACGACCCGGGCTTCGACTGTGACATCGACGAGGACCAGCTCCTCGGCCGGGCCTACAGGTACAGGGCTCGCCGGTCACTATGCTCAGTGCGGAGGGATCGGGTGGACTGGGCCGACGAAATGTGTGGCGCCGTATACCTGCCAGAAGCAGAATGACTGTGAGTTGCCACCTTCTCCATGATAGGAACAGAATCCCCCTTACTGACTTGTTCGTAACAGATTACTCCCAATGTGTTTGATGCTTGGAATCACATTGATAGATATATTCATGGATAGCTCAAGCATAAGAATTACCATCACAGTAGCATGAACCAGTCAAATATCAAGAAAGATTGAATTGAAAGATCGTCTATTGATCCCAGGTCCTATATATCATATCCCCCCCAACTCCCTGATGCCAAATCCCAGAAGAGCAAAAAAAGACAAGCAAATCATATGCTGATCCCGAGTATGTCCGTAGCATTATTATACCCATTTGCCAAATCAAGAAGTTCCCAAGTCCTTCCATTGGTCGTTTCACAAGAAAGATTTGCAGATCGATCCGATCTTCGTCTTTTAGTTGATCACGATGCGATGAGCCTCATGCTTCTTCGCCTTGGGCACGACAATGCTCAGGATGCCGTCTCTGAAGCTCGCGCTGACGCCGTCGTAGTCCACCAGCGTGGGGAAGTGGAAGCTGCGCGAAAACTCGCCGATGCTGCGCTCCGTGAGCCAGTACTTGGCCCTGTCGACGGGCTGCTTCTTCTCTTCAGGCTTCTTCTCCTCCGTGGTGACGACTTCGTAGCCTGACTCGCGCTCGCTGGCCTCGTCCTCGTCCTCCACGGTAGCCTTGTACGAGTTCCTCCGCGAAGAAGAAGAAGAAGCCTCTTCTCCCTCTGCCTTCTCAGTCACGCTCTTAGTGGAGGCAGTTGTTTCAGTCGGTGATGTGCCGGCCGTGTAGGTGCGCTCCGACTTGCCGCGCACGAGCAGCGTCTGGGGATCCGAGAACTCGATGTGGACGGCCTCCTTGGCGACGCCAGGGAGCTCGCCGTGCAGCTCGTAGGCGGTCTCGGTCTCGCGGACGTCGAACTTGGGCTGCCACTGGGGGAGCTGCACCTGCTGTTGCTGCTGCTGCTGGCGGCGGGGTGCTGCCGATGATGAAGATGATGACTTGCCGTTCTGGCGGCTGTAGGTGTCAAAGTCGTCGAGGAGGCGGAAGAGAGGCGTGAAGGAGGTGGAGGAGGACTCGGTGGGGTGGTAAAAGGTGCGAGGGTGGAAGTGGAACGCCATTGTAGTGGTTGTTTGTTTGGTTTGAGGGTTTGGAGAAGCAGTGGTCAGGTTGGTAGTCGGAGAGTTGTGTCTAGATGGAGAGAGTTGTGGCGTTGATAGTTTGTTTGTTTGAGTGTTTGCTTGCTTGTTGTTGCTGAGTTGATGCTCTGATGAGGATCCCAGATTCACTGCTCCTCGGTCCTGACACGACACTTTATAGCTAGCAAACACCGCGATTCATCACCAACCTCCAGGCAGGACAAGCTGACGAACTCAGGCATTCTAGATATCAGACGAAGCTACTAGCATCTACCATTCACTGCTATTGTTACTGAACTGCGCTTCATAATGCAGCTGACAGTTGGAAGCTGGAAGCCGTTGCAGAATCGCAAGCGCCCTGCGAGGTGCATCTGGTAGGCACTAGAAGGTTCCACAGCATATACCGGTACCTTACTCAAGCTAAGGTAGAGGTAAGCAGGGGGGTAATGTTCATCCAAGCAACAACCCTTTCCTCATCTTCCCGAAACAAAACAAAAAACGACGTCAAAATCACAGTATAAATTCGCACATTTCTTGAAATAAACGTGTAATTGTGATTCGATGCTATGATTGCTATAAAAAGCAGCAATCACAAAGTTCGAAGCTGTCCTCCATTACATGTACCTCAATTCAACCAGACGTCATCCCGCGACCGATGACATCAAGTGGAAGTACCTGCAGTACCTCCCAGCAGGTACCCCGTTAGAAAAGCCTCCCCCGCTGTCAAGCCCCATTGTGGCTCCTCGGGAAACCCTCTTCCTTTCCTTGGAAGCTGGAAAACAAACGGGAAAAAAAACCACAACTGACATGTGGCGCAAGACGCCACTCTCATCATCAGAACCAGCCACATCCCAAGCCACCCCATACGAATTGGACCCTTACCTTACAGGTTAAGGCAACTCCAGTTAATGGCCAAGGAACGAACGAATGATGGCATCTCCGGGCATGGGGTTTTGGCCATGACGATGGAAGCAGTCGAAACACTTCGATTGAAATTCACGAGGGACAGAGAGTGTCTCTAGTGATTCCCGTCACGCCATCGGGCACCCCGGCCACGGCTGATGCACCCTCTACCATGACAGCCTTCCACGGCATCAGGGACATATACTTTTTGGCCAAGTTTAGTGGCGAGTACTTAGACGATTCTGGCAACAGGCGTGAACCAGATGCCCGTCCAGCGTCAAATCTTGTAAATCAAAGATCAGGCTTCCCAGGGCTCTGTATTTTCCCATACTGCCATGGTAGCAAGGGCAAGGAGCTGCGTAACAGACGGTGCAGGAGACGTCCATGTTCTTACCGTAGAGAAACCAGCTCGTTCATGCTAATCACAATGCTGAATACCGAACAATGCCGCAGGCAAAGGTGCGCTTTGGTAGTAATCCATATGAAATTGACCACACATATAACATATTAAAAGCCATCGTAATATACCCAAAGACAGAGATAACCACAAATGATGTTCCTAGCCGCCTGTCCTTCTTCGTTGACCTGATATTCATCGCTTTCGGCTCCCATCATCGTGTAAACATAGTTCCAGAAACCGTGGATATAAGTACAGGGCAAAACTTGCGTAAACTTTTTTCCTGGAAGAAGAACCAGGGTGCCAGAGAAGGCAAGCAAGGACAAGTACGAAGACAGTAGAGGGTAGAGGACCGAGAGGCAACGGGCAAGGCAAGCCTATTGTGCATGTGCATACGATCCCATCTGTTGATACCTGGGCATCGCACCAGCCGGCAGCCTCCCACCTGCCGTCGACCCGGATCCTTGTGAAGTGTTGAAAAGACCGATGAGCCTTTGCCCGACAGAAGGCTCGATCTCTGTACCATCTCGCGCAATCTTGACCTCTCGGTTGGAGTTCCAGGGGTTTCGTAATCCCCGGATCCGATGAAAGGGAAGACGAGACGTCGACAGCCACTCAACTCTGAACGGCTTTCCCCACGATCTTTCCTCCTCCTCCTCCTCCTCTCCGTTCAAGGCGCCGTCTGTCCCGTTGGTAACGCTGGCATTGTGATCGACGACTTTTTCAGAGTCATCTTGATACACCTCCCAGAAAATCGTTCCCCTAGTTGGATCATGGAGGATCCTACCCTTGGGGACATATTCAGTCGCGTCCGTGAGAATCTCTTTCGTGAGATCCGAATCGTTCGTCGATCGTTGCACCGGTGCAAATTTGATGGTCGAATCTAGAGATGGGCTGAACTCGGAAATCATTCGTGCATACCCAAAGTACTCTCCAGACTTGTTGGCTGAGAATATCAAGTATACATTGTTACATTGCTTTTTTTCACGTGTTAGCAGACGAAGATGGCATCGGGTATGTGACATGATCCAGCTTCCTCACCTTGAACGCGTCGTTCAGCGTTTCTTCATTGTGAGACTGCGTTGCCCAGACACCAGTCCGTACACTAAGCTCAAGGTCGTCAACTGTCAGACTCTTCAGAATGAAGAATCTGTCATGGTGCTTTGCCACCGCGTCAGGCACGGTAACTGCCGAGTCTTCTTCACCGTCGGTAGTAGCGGGCGAGCTCACGCCGTCGACTTTGACGGCCGAGTTACTTGCTGCTTGACTAGTCGGTCTGGAAGAGTTGCTTGGGCCCAACGCCGGCCCCGTCGGCGGAGATGGGCCAGAACTGCCGTCGAGTTCATTCTTTCGTAGCCTGCTGACAAGACGTACAGACTGGAATCTGGACTCGTGCAGTTTGACTTGCGCAGCAATGCAAGAAGCCTCGTCTTTGAAATTGGCAAACGCGCAGTTGCTCTTGGCAATCAAGAACAGGGATTCGAGTCCGTTTGTCTCCTTCGAAACGTGGCGTACGAGGGTCATAAGGTCGGTTTGAGGTGGCAGATTTCCGATCCAGACAGCATTTCCTGTACGAATGACACAGTCAGCCACTGATCCCAGTTGACGAGACACGATGAAAGGATAGAGCCCGCAAAGGCATAGGACAACAGGCAAGGGCTGGGGAGGGGTGCCGCCTACCAGTCTGACGAGGCTTACGCGACGAGTGTCGAGCAGAGTTTTTCTGCTCCTCCAGGTTGACTGTTATGCATATTTCTCAGTGCCTATTGACCACGAGGGGGTAAGGAAAGGGGCTTTTGAAGAGTTTTACCATGAGTAGGCTTCTTCTGAGATGGATAAGGCAGTGGCAAACCATCCGACGATTGGTTAGGGGTTAAGGGCCCTGTCGACACGCGTTGGCCAATCTCTGCGCGAGGATGCTGTTGGCCCGAGGTGAGGACCGGTTGCACATTGGGCATCTGGACGGGATACGGAGCCGTCTGGGGATAGTAATATTGCGTGGGCGGGTGTCCCATAGGTACCGGATTTGGGTAATATGCCACGTTTTGCCTCTGCAGCATCGCCGCGTTTACCTGACCGACAGGCAAATGGCCACCGCCATAGTACGGCGAGATATGCTGGGCTTGTGGCACATAGTAGCCCGGAGGCACCATGGAAATCGGTGAATGTCCGGTGTACTGAGGAATCGGCGGCATGTGAGGAGCCATGGGCGGTGGCAGCCCAGCAGCGTATCTTGGCTGATGGACTCCTCTCTGGTACTGAACGTGATGGTAGTTGTCCATGGGGAGGGCATTCGCCAGAGAGGCCATATTGTAGGGGCCTTGGCGGTGGAAGAATGTCGACGACGGGGCCTGCCCGTGTAGGGGAGGCGATGGATACTGTGAGACTGCCGGATGGTTGAGCAGGCCATGGTGATTGTCGAGCCTCGGAGTCAACCGCTCATGGTCCTGACTCTGAGGCACTGCACGCCCCTTGGTCGCCCCGTCTGGCACGATGGGCTCGACGTTCCCCGTCCCAGCGTCGGAGGGGGGTGAATCGTCGCCCATTGAAGAGGGTTTGAATGCTGGGCCCGAGTCTAGGCTGGTCTGGATGTGCCTGATATTCGAGTCCGCCGGCACGAGTATTTTTATGCTTTTGGTGTAGCCGACTACAAGGGGGTTTGGTTGGGGAGAGTTGTGTGTCCGAGGAGCAGAGCTGAATAATCTTTCGTCTAGCCCAGATAATCTCGTCGAAGCCTCAATTGCGGATAAGGCCCGAAGTTTTTCATATGCAAGGAGCTGTATCTTTGCATACTCCGAAAGGAGAGAGAGAGCCTAACCTTCGCCACGAATGAAAGCCCTCCGAAGGACGCGGCCACTAGAGAGCAAACCTTACACCACTGCTTCGGATCTCGAGGCAGTGGCAACGTAGAGCCCGTTCTCCGAATGATAGAGTCGAAGTATCCGGCGTTGACAGTAGGGCTGCTGACTTTACAGGTGACGTGAACCCAGAGCTAAATGCCCTCAGGGGTGCAGAAGAACACGATTTGCCTCTGGGGCGGAGCGACAAGGAAGGGCCAGCCCGGTCTGGGGAAATCAGTGACTCGGATAATGCACCTTATGCGACTGCTGTAGGAGGATTGTGCCTGTGGCAGGGGTGATAATACCCTATAGGGGTTTCTGTCCTTTTTTTTGGCGAGATAATGCGCAAGTTGGACAGCCCAGAGCCGGCAGTTCCCTCTTGGAGAACCCACTTTGGTGGGAGAAGCTGGTGATGACTGGCAGCAGCTCTGTGCCGCTAGGTTGAAAGAGAAACTCTCAAGGCAGGTTGCCGGTTCGTTCTAGAAAGAAGCCTGCCTCTGACGGCCGGGAACAGTTCGATGGCAGGTGACTGATTCGACACTCATGGAAAGCAATGGCTGCTAGCCATGTCAGATCGAGCCAAGTGACCGGGTCAAACTCAACATACCAGGTGCAAAAGGCGCGTATCCTTTGGCGGCGGCGGCTCAGCTTGCTCGGGTAGGTCGTAGCTTTGAACTGGAAGGAAAAGGGAGCAGCGGAGCTAATCGCTTCACACCCTTTGCTACTCACGCCTGCGGATCATTGCACGACAAGTCAGTGCTAAAATTGTCTACACCAGTCGGTGAGCAGCAGCCGGGCTCTCAGATTCACCACTCACCAGTCAGAGAACCGTATGAGCAGACAGCGAACGATGGGTCTCGCGGCAAGTAGGCGAAGGGCGCCTAGAGATGCAGCCTTGCAAGTCACCCCCTTCGACGAGGGATGGGTCGTTGGACTCAGGCAAAGCCCGATGAAGATCAAGGGCTGGAGAAGATCTCGACCAATCTCTGCTTGTACAGCTGAATATACCGACCGACAACGACGATCCGGTTATACCAGGGGCGACGAATCGAAGGAGACAAGAGGCAACTCAGGCTCCAGAGCTACAGTTGCCCTGCCCGATTTGTCCTGTCGGGGTGTTTTGTCAGACCAAGGGGGTGTATTCCAAGCAAGTGCCTTTCAAGAAGGAAATGACAACTGCATAGTACATACGGTGCCTGGTTTGAAAACGGTTTCCTGTTTGTTTCCAATGGCTTAACGCCAGAAAGTTGCCTTGCTTTGTAGCTGAAGATATCGCCTCAACGGGCAAACCGGCGGTATCACAGGCTTCCGGCACAGTGTAGCTCAGGTTGAAAGTACAAGCAAAAGCACGAACCAAGGGCAGGAAGCTCTTGGGAAATCAGACGTACCTGGGTACCTCGTACTTGTACTCGGCTTGAACAACCCTACCTTGACCTGGTGGTCGACCAATGTCTAGACCGAATCAACTGTGGAAGCGGAGATTTGCATAGCCCCTGGTCAGACTAAACGTAGCCAAGGCACAGAGCTGCCAACATTTCCGGTACAAACCTTCTCTGGCTTCGTCAGCAGGGAAAGATGTACAGAGAAAGCTAAGTGGCTTATCTGCATGAATTCTTGCGATGGATATGGAGTCTCAGCGAGGTGGCGTTGGGCTTGACAGAGCGACGACCTGCATGTGCTAGAGGTCGGTAGCCAAGTGCCTAGCTTTGCTATTCTGTTGAGTCGGAGTTGCCTATACACCCCGTCTCCCAGCACGTTCATAGAATCAGGACGGCGTAAATCGTACGGCATAGCTTGTTCAAGAGGCGCCGTGTGAGAGAGGAAGGGCGCCCTGGGGGCGTGTGGACAAGGATGGAGCTAGCCATGGAGCATGGAGCCCGCGAGAAACCGGCAGGGGCAAGCAGACAGCAAAGGTCGCCACATCGATAGGTACCAGCAATGATAGGTACAGAAGCAACAAGCCATTATGTACATACAGACAAGCAAAAGCTCGAACGCCGGTTGGCCAGCCAGCTGCGAACTGAACCCTGGCACTAACATCTGAAAGTGTGGCGGACGGGTGGGCAGCCCTTGCGAAATCAGACGCCTCAGTCGCACGAGGTTAAAACAAACCGGAAACCGGGAACCGCATGTGGCTTTCCCTGGCCTGGTTCGCCACCGCAAAGCTATGTCACGATCCGTGGCTAGCCATAGCAGACGAACCTGACGAAAAGCATCACTCTGCCATCAGTCAAGGTGAAGCTCTTGTCTTCGTCTCAGTTGCCGCTAGCCCTTCTGTGTAATGTGATGCCACTGGTTCAGCGTCGTCAGCATTTTCACACCCATCCATCAATCATGGCTACGTGTTCAGCTTTTTTTCGGAGCAATCGGCTGGCCAGAGACTCGCTGTATAGACGGGCAGAATCAAAAGCAGGCCTGGAGCAGCTCTCCACAACAACCTCGCAGCCCACGGGTTCACCGAAACGGGTCGGGGCCGGTCGGTCTAAAAAACGTAAAGCCCATGGCATAGTACCAAATAGCTTCAGCGATGCCCGAGTTATGGCCTTTTTTTTGCCTTTTCCCCTTCCTTTTCATCCAGATTCACATGGTGCGCCACTTGGGGCACAGGCATAGCATTGGCCATGAAGCCATTCTGGATCCAGCGCGCTTATGGATTGAAATGAAACAAAGGCCCCTCGTCCGCATCCACCGATGGGTAGTTTGCCCGTATAGCGTGATTGTGGCTCGGATCGGCAAGACGTAGCATCGCTCTTGGACGTGCTCCGGAATAGCTTCATGTTTCGTGACGAGCTGCCGTGTAAATCTCGATTTCTCCGTCTTTCTCCTTCATTCTGGCCCAGCATCGATCACGAGCCATGGGTACATGTACGCATGCGCAAGGCAGGGCTAGCGATGCAGCCCACTTCCAACTCGCCCGGGCCCTCTGTAATCCGTGCCGGTCGCTGCCTTGTACAGAGAATCAACGGCTCCCGCATCCGCTAGGCTCCGGAGGGCGCTTCTGACGGCGCCAGTAAGAAGCAGGATCTGCGTCGAAGTATTGCTTGTGCGAGGTGAAGCAGCTCGACGACGGCGTCTGGCGCGTTGAAGGCCGCGCCAGCAATGGCAAGTTGTTGGTTCGCGGTCCATGGAATCCGTCGATCACTTTCCATCTCTGCTGCTGCCGGCCCACCCCTCTCACGTCCCGGCCTTGTACCTTCGCGGCCAAGCCTCCCTGACGCAAGGGTGTGAAGCCCATCCCGCGACCTAAGATACCTTAATCGACCGCCTGGGCTGGTCACACACCATGGGCATTGGCCTGCGGGAGGGGCATGGGCGCCTTGCCATGCCTCAATTGATAACGAGCATGGGGAAATGCTGGTTTTTGGTTTCTCGATGCCGCCAGTATCGAATTTTGCGCAGTTCCCCATCGACCGGCAATTGGGCCTGTCCTTGCAGCGCGGGCCGTTGCTGCGCTCGCCTTGACGGCAGCGCCTGGGGCAGCCGACCTGCTCTCTCTTTAGCTGTCACAAGCCAAGGCCGGTACCTGCGCAGAAGCAGAATTTCCAGATTTCCCAGCAGCGTCCAGCGCTGATAGTCGGCAATGGCTCTGAGGCCACAGAGGGCTGGATTCCCTGAGGCGCTTTCCCCGCGAACACCGCCACCCTGGCTTGGACCCTTGAGCTGGACCCTGGCTATGAAGTCAGAGGCACCAAAGCGGACGGGGCGAAAAAGCAGGTTCTCGCCAAACCTTGACCCCTCGTTTAAGCTGTGCCCACGCAACCACGGCCGACGCGTAGCGCAGCCCATACCCGTTCTTGCATCCATTTCCCATCTCCATACACATCTCCATCTCCCACTCCACAACCAACATCCAGGAACGGGTTCCCTGGGAGTACAGGTACATCGTAGACTGTCCACACTCGGTATGTCGTCTCAGCACGGATGTCCGCTTGCCAAGTACTTCGTACCTGGCCTAGCAGTGCTATTTGGTAGTTAGTAGGAGTTCGGCAAACGCTACTCCCCATAGGGCATTGCTTTGGTGCCTTTTTTCTTAGCAAGTCGAGACGAGGGCGGATGTGTTGCTCCGGGTGAGGCCATTCGGAAGACGCACGGATTTCAAAAGCGCTCCGTGGCTTCGCTGGAGAAGCCTGTCGAGGTGCACAAGCAGCGGTACCACTCGCACAGCGACACCCCGACGAGGAGACGCGCGCCAGTGCCCAGGGCTGCAGGCTGGCGGCCGTCCGTGGCTCGTGTGCATTAGCGGATGCGCATGGCCCCGTTGCCGCATCTGCGTCGACATGCGCAAATGCCATCTCTTGTGCGAAGCAGACATCGTCGATTCGCACGTCCACGGCGACGGTGACAGTTGCAGGAGGAGAGACAAGGCTGGGGCTGCCACCGCTATCGTGGACGCTTATCCAGCTTGCTGCTGCAAGGGCGCCGATCTTGCCTGGCTTGGGATTAACTTGAACTGCTGCTCGCGCTCTACAAGGCAGGAACTGCTCGGACGGCCAGTCAGCACCTGCATCCGCGTCGAAGCTGGTGCTGGCAATGACGACATCGCTTTCCTTGGATGGCAAACCTGCTTGCTCGTCACGCTGCCTGTCAGGTGCTGGCCTCTCCTGAACATTCACAGATTCGTCTGCTGTCGAGCATCTTGCATCTCTCCATCTGCTCGATTACATACTCCCCGCATTGTGTGACGTAGCCTGTTGACTTTGCTCCAACCTCTTCTTCCCTCCGTTTCCTTTCCATCTTCTGTCGTCTCCATTACACGATCTGCATCAAGCTCGGGACAGCAGCTGCCCGAGATCAGAGCCTCGGAGTGAGGGCTGAAGCGACTCCATGACGCCACTAACTCGCGATCAAGGCTGTCAGATTGCAAATGCTTGTGTCTCATCGTCCTGATCGCTGGGGGTCCTTCAGGGCTTCCGGCATGTCTCGGCCCCTCAACGGACAGTGTACTATTATGTACGAAGTGAAGTAGGCTCGCCAGCCATCGCTGCCAGTTGAATTATTACTGATTCCTTCTTCTCTTCATAATTCCATCATACGGACCTCGCCTGGATCACTTCAGTTACTCGTCACTTTTAGATCGACAATACCTCTCACGCTCGGTCGCAGCTCGATTCTTCGTGGTGGCGAAGTGTCCGCGGTTGCAGTTTCGCCCGGGTCCGACAGCTTTCGAATACGCAACACAAGCTTGACAAGATTGCTTCTCACAGCACGTAGGCGCGAACGGTCGATCGTCATGTTGACCCAACGCGGATAAGACCATCCAGGAACGTCGTTTTCATACGCTGAAGCTTTGGGAGGCCTGCCGGGAGAAGCCTGAGGCGATTCCCATCTTGCACGCCACAACAGCTGCATTGCCAGCTCAGCTTATCGTTACAAAGTGCGATCACACTGCGAGTAGCATATCTGCCCAGTAAACAGTGAGGCCGGCAGAAGCGTGTCATCCCTACCTGCCTCCTGGCTTGTCTATCCCTTCTTCAAGCGCCTAGTGCCAAATGAGCGATGCGTACGAAACATGGCTTCCATTGGATAACCAACAGGCTGCGCCTCGCGATTGCTACACTGCGTTGATTGGGACCATCGATGCACACGCTGCAGTTCTACGAATATACGTGCATTCGAGGATGAAGAGCCCCTCTGATTTGGCCCATCTGTTTGTACAGGTACTCGGCCACCAAAAAAAAATGCGCCAGAGGGGGGCTCAATGGCATCTTCTGGAGGATACCCCGCCATTTGATTTTGACCTAGCCCTCCTGCTGGCATGGGAGGCATGCGGAATTGCATAGGCCGCCGCACCCGCGAGACTTTGGTCGGTCTCTCCGCCATGGCTACCCAGGGAGCTCTCACCACGTGTTTGGGACCGGCATTTCCTGCTTGCCACGTAATCGTGGGAGGGCTGGATCCTTGCCCTTTGCCATCAGGTTCCATGCGAAAAGCCAGGCAGTGAGAAGCCATTCGGGACGTTGTACCTCCGACAAGGCATTGTTGGGACGGCGAGACGCCTTCAACCCCTGGAGACTGTCACAACCATGGGTTTGTAAGGTACTAACCCTTTTACGTGATGATTCTGATAGGACATTGCGCCAAGCAACATGGACATGAAGATGGCGAGGACACAATGGACGATTTCCGCAGGCTTTGGGGCAAAATGGCCGGACAGCTTCCTACGCAAAGGGCTACGACAGAGGATCGAATTTGCCTTGGGAGAAGTGATCCACAATTCTGACCAGTTCTCAATGTCGACGCGCTGTCTTTGCTTCCGAGCTGAGTTGTGCGCCTTCTCTAATGAAGGCATCTACAGGGCATGCTTACTTGCCTTTACCTTATCTACCAATGCATAACACCATCATTGTTGGACCATGCGCAGCCGCGCCAATTGCATTGTTGCCTTTTCCGAGGAAAGTATCGGCTCTTGATATCTGATATCTGATATTGTTGAGCCCAAGTTGTGTCGGTCCTGAATTGCCTTTCTGGCTTCATGAAGCTACGACTTTGTGGACATAGGCCCCCAAACCCAAAAGTTGAGCGACATATTGAAGAAGAGCTTGGAGGTTCTCCCCGTCTCTATCCGGGGGGGCGGTAAACGCTCAATGAACAGAGTTGGGATGGGAACAGCATTCAGCATGATGCAAATTCAACGTGATGGGAGTTGTCCCTTGCTAGTCGTCGCTGAAGACCGGCTTACTTTCAGACAACCTATCATTCACAGATGACGCAAACTCACTGCCAATCATACGAGGTCGCAGCCGCAGCTGAATCTAGTCTCACCATCACCTCGATATCCATGGTTCGTAACGATCCTCGTCTGTGCGAGGTTGAGCTCGGCTCACATCCAGAGATCTGTGTATCTTGCTCATCTGAGCTGGCCGAGGGCGTCGTCGAGGCCGATGAAGTCAGCTCGGCTGAGCAACTCCGTCGTAGGATTGGCCGAGTTGCCTTGGCCAGCCGTCCAACCGGAGCTCTCGAAGACAACCTTCACGCACGGGTACGAAAGAATTCACTACCATTACCTACTATGTAGGGTCGAATACGAGACAAGTGCTTTGCCTACTGCCGGATGCTCTGTCCCCCGTCCCTCCCTGCTCAGGTGCCCTGCAGAGCTGCAAGGATTTGGCGCCTCAAAGAAGGGCAGAATGAGCGGCTGTGGAGCTGGGATGCGGCAACATCACAGGCGTTAACTGGAAAGGGACTATCCGTGTTCCGCGCGCAAGTACACCGCCTTTGAACCCGTGGTTAAAATGTCGTAGATCCAAGCAGACGTGTGCGGGTGGTGCCATCGGGGCTGCAGGGCTGCGTAGCTACATGTGCAGGTATCGTGAAGCGGAGTTGATATTAAGAGACATCATGGTCACGCGGGGTTGAAACGTCCAGGGTGCGTCCAAATGAGGCTTCTTGAGCATTCAAAGTTGAACGGCTAATATACATCTTTATGCATTCCAAAATAAGAGACAAAAACAGCATTCATAATCTAATCCTTCTTTAGAGGCAGGAAGACCTCCTCGATGCCGTCTTTTGTGATAATCAGCATCTGCAGAGAATCGCCGACCTCAATGTGGCGCTCCACAGCGCCGTCAAAGGCATCCTTGACAAGAGTCTCGACCTCTGGCCGTGTCAAGGGGCGGCGCTCCCTCTCCTTCAGCTCGTGACCCTCTCCGCTGCCGGGGATGTACTGGTTCTTGAAGTTGACCTGGTTGTCCAGGAAGGGCATGATCAAGCTGCCCGCAGCACCGCCGGCTCGACACTGCTCCCTCTCGTAGCTTCCAACCGGGTCGTAGGAGTAGACAGCACCCTTGCCCTCCTCGTCGAGGCCGCCGAGCATGGCATGTGTGTAGTATGGGAAGAATCGCTTCTGGTAGAGAATGGTGGACAGTCGCTTGGCACAGGCGTTGAGCGACATGGGCTTGCCGTGTCGGTAGCGGTAGATCTTGCAGACGGTGTCCAGGCGGTCGCGCAGAGCCTCGCCATCTGCGGCAAATCCGCAGACGGACAGGACGATGGTGGCGTCTTCCTGGGTGGCAGTGGTGCCACCGATCTTGAAGACCTTGGGGGCCATCCGGGAGTTGATGCTGTAGCCGCTGGTGTGACGGGTATCGCCCGCCATGATGGTGAAGTCGGCGCCGGAGATGGCCAGCGTAGAGCCACCATTGTCGGAGTAGCTGCAATGATGGTTTAGTGCAATGCAGACAAGCAGACCAGAGACAAGCCGGATGACCTACGGGTTGAAGCGGTGCTGTCGAGGCTCGCCGTGGGCCTTGTTGGGCACATCTGAGAAGGAATAGTTGGGCCCATTCATGAGCGGGTTTTGGCTGAACATGGCGGCCATATTTGCGGTGTTTCGAGGATGGTTCTTTACAGCGGCGCTGGTGAGAGAAGAGGTTGATGGCAGCAGACGATGGCCTGACGTTGGTCTTTGATGCTATATCGCAACAGCATGCACGCGTCAAGGTGGGAGCCTTGCTTAGGCCGGGAACTGGGGGGTAGCTCCGATGACTAAGCAGCCTGATTGCCTCTGGTCAGTGACCACCCCTTAATATGTGCTACCAGGCGGGAGCGAGAAGGGGATCGTTATCTCCGTCAACTGCGCGTTGGGCGACATTTTCTACCTGGACGTCGCGGAAAGACGTCTGCGCAGCTCTGTGGGAGCTGTACCCATCACCCAGTAGTGCTAGCCGGAGCTCTGCGACACCGGAACTGCGACCATGACGCGCGACATCCGCGCCAGAGCGCTCGAGAAGATTGCGCTGCTCTCGGCAGCGAGCTCTGCGACTGCGACGGACAAGACAGACCTCGATCGACTGTACAAGGCGTGCCATTCTGGAGGACGGGGAGGCGAACATGGCCGGTCCGGGCCTGATTCCAAGCCAAACGGCTCTCTGGGGATTGTCCCTATGGTCAGCAACCTTCTCGCATCTCGACTTACACGGGGAAAGACGGAGACGGCCAGAAGCTAACTGATTATACCTGACTTGTAGTCCATTCGCGAGTTTGAGGTCCTCCTCGCGCTCTGCAAGACGGCGCCGAATATCCAATCCAGCCAAAGTGCTCAGAAGCTCTCTTACCGATTGATTCCTTACATGCTCGACATTCATACTCAAGTTTTCGTCCCCTCGCCCTTCTTTCGCAAGATCGAACCATCCCCGACAGAGTCGCTCGCCTTCCACGTTACAGCTGCGTTGTTGTCGCTTGGAAACAACCATCACGAGCTTCACGACGAGATCTCCAATGGTATCTGGCACTTCGCCAATGACTGCATCAAGGTGGCCGACAATGTCTTGTCGCCACACGTCGGAGACCCGGAGAACCCCCATTTGGACGATGCGATTCGCACCGCGACCGTTGCTCTTGCGCTCGTTGGCTTCCTCGATGCGGTATCCGCCCAGGCAGACTTCTGGAGAGTGGACGGCCGGCTGTATCTTATACAAAAGATCCGACAGCTCCTCTCAGAGCCCTTTCTGGTCGCAGTCGAGACCGCGATTTCCACCATCCGCAACTCCCTCAGCTCGGACAGAGACGTCAAGGAGTGGAAGAGGCATTTGCGCCACTACGCTGCAGCAGGGAGACCCCTTGGGGCCATGCTGCTGCAGCGCAGCTTCATGTGGCTGGTCTTGGCGAGTAGTTCTTTGATGGTTGCGGATGGGGAGCGCCTTCGGACGACTCACATCCTGGATATCCTCATGTCCAAGGACGGCAACTCGAGGTCCGGCGCAAGTCTGGATGCAGAGGCCGATACCAGCTCAGTCGAGACGTATACTGGCCTTGCTATTGAGCAGATGCACTACATCGAGGCCGGTGCAGACTTCGTACGGCTTGGAGCTCACTCCCAGCAACAGCTTGCTTTTGCCGTCAAATCTGCTGCTATGATTACGTACCTAAACTGTGCTTTGCTGAATGAGGAGATTGCGGATGCGGACGTTCTCACCACGTGGCTGCAGGAGGCACTGGAAGACCCTCTCCAGATGGCCGATGAAACACTGGCATCTACTGTTCTGCAGTGCCTGGCTCTAAGCTGTCGTATCGCTCCCGCATTCTCGTCGACTGTCAGCCGCGTGCTTCCCCGTTTCCTCGTTCAAACCATACCTCAGGGCAGCACCGTTGGGGTGGCATCCAAGAGTCTCGCATATGTCCTGAGGCTGCTCTCGAAAGATGCAGTCATCAGCACTCTCTATACCTTGGGCAATGTTCTGAGTCCCGGCTCGGATGCAGCCATTGCGCTGCAAGCAAATGGCACCGCCGGCGAAGCGAACTTGGTCCCTGTGTATGCTAACAGACACTCTACGGGAAGCGCCATTTCTCTTCAGATGAACGGCGAGGAAGAAACGGCCATCATCTATGGCAACGTTGTCCAGGCGATATGCGGCATCGCAGCAGCATGCGACGATGAGAAGATTACGGCTCTTGCCCAATCCATGCTGTTGCAGAAGCTCGACAAGGTCAACGTCAGTGTGGACACTCAAGTCATAGCTGGCGCAGCTACATTGGCCCTTAGTGGAGGCCAACTGGAGTTCCGCTCTCTTCTCAAGCTATACTCGAGGATCTGCCATGTTGGCGTGGTAGAGAAGAAAGACTTCCTCTTGGGCTCAGTCAAGAGAGCTCGCGCCCACATCTCTGCTCGCCTGCGTCGGGATTCACCCTTGTTCGACATCTACTGGGAGCATCTGCTGGACAGCATCATTTCTCTCGGAGACGCTCACGCATCCGGGCAGACCAAAGACTCGGATGTGCAGTTGGCTGCTCTGGAGATTGGCGAGCTGCTTCATCCTCTCGCCGTATTCATGGCCAGCAATGATCTTGCTTCTGAACCCCTGGCAAACGACGACTCGTATGTTCTCCTAAGGGATGCGTGGTTCAACATTGTTGTACACGGCTTCATGACAACTACCGAACGTGGCAAGAAGTACATCGATGAGCTTCGTATGATTGCCGTGCACTCTCCCGCATTGGTGGCGAGCCAACGCAGCGAGCAAGTCGAGAGTGACATTGAGCTGAATACCGTCCTGAGAAGAGGGCATAGCAACGAGCGAGAGGCGATGCAGAAGAAGCTTCTCAGCGAGCTCGTGCCCTCAAAGGCAGCTGACATTAAGAGCCTCAGCTACCGAAAGGTCATCTTCCTTCAAGCCGCCTACCTGGTTGAAAGTCTTCGCGCCGACGCCGGCGATTGCACCAAGGCTCTGACATACTTTTTGGAGCCGGCCATGCGAAAGGGAGATGTCAGCAGCACGATGGAGGGAATTGCTGCTGCTGTCGTCGACAAGTACTTGAAGAAGACGCTCGCCGGCATTGACCCAAGCTTCTCCTCCCAGTATGCCGCCACTCAGCTTGTCTCCATCTTCCGCAATTGCTGTCATCGCATCGAGCGAGTCCAACAGGCCGCATTTGCGTGCGCGGACCGTATCATCAAGGACGTCCCTTCGGCGTTGTGTCACAGAACATCCCTCTTCGCTTTGCTGGAGCTGCTCTCCCTCCTATGGACGAGCTGTCTGGAGGCTGAGACCGATGTCTACACGCCGCGGTCTATCTTCACTTCCAAGCTTGGCGATGTGACGCTGGAACTATCCGACGACTACGATTTCCGTCGCTGGACGCTGGACGCCCTTAACCGGAAGGCCAAGGCATGGGTTACCACTGCCATCAACCTGGCGCCCTTGGATGTCAAAGGCCTTCTCCAGACATACTTGTCGGAATTTGAAGACGACGGCGCATACGGCCATGTTTCGCTCGGTCGTTCTTTCGCTCTGGAAGTTGGATCCATCATCCCGTCAACGGACAGCAGGCTGCAGTCGCTCGACCGCGTTGGAGACACTGCTCTCAACACAGCGTCTGACCTTATCGCTCAGTATACTACTCGCCAGGAGTACCGCTATGGTGAAACGCTGCCAGATAGGGGATCCGAGTTGATCACCTTCATGAACATGAACCGCCGGTCGTCGTTTGTCCAGACTACGGTGATTGAAAGTGCTAATGCGGCCACTGCTCTGGCTCACATTGAGGCTCGAATCTTGAGTAAGAAGTCCACTTCTTTGAACGAGGTTCGAGAGATTCTCAGACGGGCAGCCGCCCTGTTGTGCCGTGGCGGGAAAGATGAATCGGCCGTCGCTCGCTATCTCGTGAACATACCCTTTGCTCTCTTCACGAAGCAGTCCATTAAGCTTGGCGTTTCGTTGTGGCTCGGTGTAATGAACGAGAATCCGCGACTGGAGCCCAAACTGCTGAACTCCATTGCTCAGCAGTGGGAGCTTAGCATCTCTCGCAAGGTCGGGCTGTTTCATCCAGCCTTGAGCCATCCGGACCCTTTCTTCCTCAAGGAAGAATTCGCGCCAAGCGAGCTGGAGATGCTGGCAAAGAAGCGACAATTGGTGCACGACATTCTGTCTCCTCACGCTCGTTTGCTTCAATTCTTCAGCAGCCACTTCAATGCCACCAGGCTTGGCTGCCCCGACATTCAGCGGATCTTTATTCGCATGCTCGACTTGACTCTGGACGCCGTGAAGCATTGCACGTCCCATCCACTGGCAAGAGAACTGCGTTTGCAAATTGTCCTCTTTGGTCTACAGGTTCTACGATGGAGCACAATCATCAACGCTACATCCCAGTATCGCTTCAAGGGCAAGATTCTGTCGGCCGGTCTCTCCTGGTTCAGGAACTCACCCAGGTGGTCGTTTGGCAGCAACCTTGTGCAGCTGAAGACTGAGTTCCGCCTCATCTCCGATGTCCTCGCCGCCATGAAAGTGGTTGCTCCCATCGGAGCCAACACATCCGGCGTAAACTCGCTACGCTCCAAGGAACAGCTGCTGCAACTGCTGTTGGAGAACGAGCAATCGCGTCTGACAGTGTGGATCAGCCCTCTCAACCAGCACCATGCTCACTTGACGCTTCATCACAGCTCGCCGAAAGCTGCGACGGAAGCTGCTCTCCTGCCTCTGGTGCCTACTGCCTGGTTCGAAGACCCTGCAATTGCTATTGAGCTGGCGACGAGATTCCACTACCCCCGATTGACTCGCGAGATCAGATTGCTTCTCCTTGCGATGCCGGAAAGAGCCATCTCTGAGCCTGAGGCCCTTTCTCTCATCCTTGGAGGACATCTACCTGACGATGTCGGCCCTCAACTAAAGGTAAATACCGCCTCCCCTATTATCACCATTTCGCATATTGGACAAGTCTAATCCGAGTCAAAACAGTATCTCTTGTTCTGGGAACCAGTCAATCCGCTCACTGCCGTGACTCTCTTCCTACCAGCATACAGAGATCATCCGTTCCTTATCCAATACGCCATGCGAGCTCTGGAGAGCCATTCCGTGGATATCACGTTCTTTTACGTGCCTCAAATTGTGCAAACGCTGCGTTACGATACCCTCGGCTACGTGGAGCGATATATCCTTGAGACTGCGCAGTTTTCTCAGCATTTCGCTCACCAGATCATCTGGAACATGAAGGCCAACGCGTACAAGGACGACGATGCGCAGATTCCCGATGCTATCAAACCAACTCTTGACGCCATCATGACCAAGATGGTTGACAGCTTTGCTCCCGAGGACAGAGACTTCTACCAGCGAGAGTTTGCCTTCTTTGACGAAGTCACCAGCATTTCGGGCAAGCTGAAACCGTACATCAAGCGGCCGAAACCAGAGAAGAAGCAGAAGATTGAGGAAGAGCTGCGGAAGATTCAAGTTGACGTCGGTGTCTATCTTCCCATTGACGCCGACGGCATCGTCATTGGCATCGATCGCAAGTCTGGAAAGCCTCTGCAGAGTCACGCCAAGGCTCCCTACATGGCCACTTTCCGCATCAAGAAGCACAAGGGCGGCCTCGAGCAAGAGGCTCAGCTGCTGGAGGGAACGGCAGGAGGAGAGGGCAAGGAGCCCGAGGACAACACCGTCGAGATATGGCAGTCGTGCATCTTCAAGGTCGGCGACGACTGCAGACAGGACGTGCTGGCGCTGCAGATGATTGCCGCCTTCCGAGGCATCTTCCACAACGTCGGACTCGACGTCTTCGTGTTCCCGTACCACGTCACCGCGACGGCCCCCGGCTGCGGTGTCATCGAGGTGCTCCCCAACTCCATCTCGCGAGACATGCTCGGCCGCGAAGCCGTCAACGGGCTCTACGACTACTTCGTGTCCAAGTACGGCAACGAAGACTCCCTCCGCTTCCAGCAGGCCCGCAGCAACTTTGTCAAGTCCATGGCCGCCTACTCCGTCATCTCCTTCCTGCTGCAGTTCAAGGACCGCCACAACGGCAACATCATGATTGACGACGCGGGCCACATCCTGCACATTGACTTTGGCTTCTGCTTCGACATCGCGCCCGGCGGCATCAAGTTCGAGCGCGCGCCCTTCAAGCTGACGAGCGAGATGATGGCCGTCATGGGCGGCTCGACGGAGCACCAGAGCTTCAAGGCGTTCGAGCAGCTCTGCATCAAGGCCTTCCTCGCCAGCAGGCAGTACTGCGACAAGCTCAGCCAGATCGTGCAGCTCATGATGGACAGCGGCCTGCCCTGCTTCAAGCCCGAGAGCGTGCAGAACTTTAGGGACCGCTTCGTCATGGACAAGACGGAGCGCGAGGCGGCCGACTTCATGAAGGACTTGATTAAGAAGAGCTATTCGAGCTACAGCACGGGCATCTACGACCAGTTCCAGCTGCTTACCAATGGTATCCCTTACTGAGCGGGCTGTATTCATTTCTATCGTTAGGTTTCGTTTCGATTCATTTCTTCTATTCATATCCATTGTTCTTATATGTTCTGTTGTGTTTGTTGCGTTTATTGCGGGTTTTATTCTTTCCTCTTGGAAAAGCCATGAGGAGACTTTGGTAATAACTTTGGTCGAGGACAAAGGTGGTCTAATAGAAGAGAAGGAGAAGAGGAGGGAAGGGAAAGGTTTACGGTGGAATACACACAACACACAATACCTATAGATAGCAATAGTTTTCATTCATACCAAGCAAGCAAGTCATCTCGAGCTTCTTCAACTGCATTCGCGACACCCAAGCTGATTCAGCTATGTATAGAATAACACCAGGCTGGCTAAAAATACTCGTCAACGCACCAAGTTCAGCAAATCGTTCCAACAGTGAAAAAATAGTGAGACCAAATCAGTAATTGCCGCGAAAATAGCTCACGTCATACTGTAGCATCCTATTTTCTTTCCAGTGGGGCTACTTCTTTCAAAAAGGAACATGTCATGTCGTGTCGTGTCATGAGGCCGGCTGCTTGAGCATGTGCGTCGGCGCGTTATAGCTCAGGTAATCGACATGGACAAAAGCCCTGTCGACGATGGGCACTGACTCGAGGAAGTAGGTCAGCACCTCGCTCAGGTCATGGCTGTCCTTGAGCGGCGTGTTGGCCGAGAGCACAATGTCCACCTCCACAAAGAGCTTGTCGCCTACGTGGTACGCGCGCAGGTTCTGGATCTGACGGATGGCCGTGGCGAAACGCATCGTCAGATAGAGGAGGAGGTTTCGCTCGTCCGGCTGGGCGGAGAAGCCCGTGAGGTTGCGGATGTGTTGAGCTGAGGTGCGGCTCCAGATGAAGATGACAAAGAGGGAGAGCAAGAGACCGCCGGAAGCGTCGAGCCACCAGATGTGTCCATAGAAGCCCACTGGCAAGTGGAGAATTTGCATGTTAGAGAAATGCGTCCATAGTAGAATGCAAGAGAAAAGCCTTATGGACCTACCTAAAGGAAACAAAATGGAGCCAATGTTAAAAATGACATCCGTCATCGCATCGTCGGCTCTGTTGAAAATAGGGGGTCAGCCTGCATAACGGGCAATTGGCAGCAAATAACCGAAGTGCAACCCACAAGGCGCGGACGCTTGAGTTCCTGACGAGACGGCACCATAGCCAGCAGCCGCCCTTGATAACAATCGTCGATATCATGATGATGATGGCCGGCATGCCCAGCTGGAGGACTTTGTGCTCAGGCCCAGCAAGTCGTTGGATACATTGCAGGCTAACCTGGCAAAAGGAGGTTATCATGATAACCGAGAAGACTAACACTCCGAGGGGTTCCAGCCTAAGGGTATCAGACGTTAGTGAGAAAACGACATCTCAAGATCCGCAAGGCACAGTAATAACGAGCTTACCGTGACCGCCCAACGGGATAATTGTGTTGATCCCGTTGGCTTGACGAGATCAACCGTGTGGTAGTCCAGACGATGGCAGTACTCAGCAAATCGAGGACTGCGTCAACCAGAGCAGCAAGGACAGACATGGAGGGAACTGAGATGATGACGGCAATTTTACCTGCCAGGAGGATGATGTTTGCAATGAGGTTGATCCAAATGGCTAGAGTCACGATAGGGTCGTCGTGGTCTAGGTCAGCGTCCTCCAGCCAGGGCAGATTCGGCTGCGGACCGGCTTCCTTGGGCAGAATAACCCGTCCGGGGGATTGCGGTCGCAAGTCTGACTCGTTCTCTTCATCGCCATGGTGCTCTAGTAGGGGCAGGTTCTCAGAAGAGCGGAAAATGTCTTTGGGAGTTCGCCTTTGGGGGTGTGCCGGCGCTTTGAGGGTAGATGACGAGCTGCTACTCTTTCCACTGGTGTTGTTGTTGACCGAGCCGTATGAGCCAGCGACTTGATCCAGATGTGATGGCGTCTGGTACGATGCCTGGGGCGTCTCTTCGGCAATGGTATCTGGGACGTCGACAGGCTTGAAAGCCGAGGCCTCGAGCTCGTCTGCATACTCATTCAATAGCTCGTGGGGGATGGACGAGTCGAGGAGACAATCGATGTACATGTATTGCTGTATCAGGGAATTCGTTCTTTGGTAGTATTCGCGTCTTGAAGACGGGGGAATGGTCAGCTCCTCGGCTCTGCACTTCGGTCAAGGGCACTGGAACAGTCTTTACATGGGCTTCTTCATGGCTTTAAGCTGCTCCTCGGTCTTCCAATACCGTTCCCAGCGATATCGCGGGTTGCTTCTCCCGATGAGTTTCAAGCTCCGCGCTTGCGGGCCAAGGAGGATTCGTGACAGCCGGTGCTCGTCTCGCAAAAGTCTCGAGATATCTTCGTCTTCATTGCGCATCCATGAGTTCCGCATGGACCCAGCCTCTTCGTCGTCTGCATGATGGCGCGGTGCCGCAGCCGGTGGCCGTGGACTCGACAGGCTTTGCTGAGATCGGGTCCGTATCAGGGATGTCAGGGTATTTGTCCTCGTGTGCAGGGGAGAGTGGTAGAGGCTATCGCCATGGCTAAGCCAAGGCCGGTCCGGCGAGGTCATGTTTGCAACAAATCTGCAGCAGCCGGTGCCGTTGCGGTACGTTTGAATCAATTGGACGCCCAAAGGGAGAAACAATATGGGCAACGGTAAGAAACTGACACATCCCTCAGGTAGTCCAATCCGCAAGATGACGTAGCGCGAAAATCCTGTTGATTCGCGGCTCAGTCACCAACCAACTAAAAGCACCTGCGCCGCGTAGCGCGAGGTCAAGACGCGAGGCGTCAGCTAGCAGAAGGCTGGCGGTGCCTTATTCGACCGATGGGCCGCGGCTTGGGAGCTGGATTGTCCATTACGAGGTGCTAGTAAAACAAGCTCCCGAGTCTTAGAAGAGCGGTCTCGTTCGTCACTTGCTTTCCTAGGCACACAACAAGGCTGGAGTCATGGATCGAGGACCAGCACGAACGGTGCATGTTGACGAACGACGGACACAGCTGGGTCGCTGCTCAAGGTCTAGAACTGCCTAGAAATCGCCACGGCAAAGCTGTCGGCTCGTCGGAGAATAAATCCGGCGAAGAAAAAGTGCAGCGCCGGAGACGCACAGCGGCGGAGGTCGGCCTAGCGCACGATTAGAGCTTTGAACCCATGCTTCCATCGATCCGCTCAGTAGAATGCGGCTCCAGTCCTGCCGATAGAAGGCCGGTGATGATAGTATCAGGAAGGCATAATTACACTTTGCCGGTAGACATGCTGCTGCAAGACAGCATTCGTACGGAAGACGGCATCATGGAATCAAACTGCTGGATGCGAACCCAAGCCATGCCGATGGTGGGAGAATTTGACACTCCTTCTCGTCGAATAGCCGTGTCTGCTAGGTATGTACTCGTACTACCTTAGTAGTAGTAGTATATCGAGAAACTTCCCGGTTACACTGTCTCCGAAACGAGGCGTTGTCTTGTCTCGTGTCGTTCCGTGTCGTCTCTTCCGGAGCTCATCTGGGCCAGGGGAGAAAGGCAAAAGCGGCTTGGCTTGTACCGACCAAGTACGTGATGACAGTGGAATGTAGGGAAATGATGATGCATACTCCGTAGACCTGCGGCTGATACAGCAGCGATACGTCGCAGCATGTGAATTCGAGCCTGGGAACAGCTGGTGATATCTCGTCGTGTCCACGTTGTTCGTTTTTGGAAGATGCAACGATTTTCTTCCCTGTGACCATTGCAATTGTTTGCCAATTTCATGCTGACAAAGCGAGGTATTCTTCGCTTCTCTTGGCCGCAGGAGCAACCGAATCGCAGCTGATTCTATCGGCAGGAGCGAGCCGGTGTAGGAGATTTCTCTTGCTTGCAATACCCAAACACCTCACCATCTTTGCTTTTTTTTTCTTTTACACCACCGCCCAACCCTCATCACCATTCACGTAAAACTCACATCTACCATCAGCTTTGTCGGCCGGCCAAACTGAGTTCGTGATGCACCACTCTCGACGTTTTGACTTTCTACCATCCCATTCCATGACGTCCGTTCCTGGATTCCGGGTAGGCCGTTCCTGGAAAAGGGCCACCGCAGCCCACGGAGGTACCTCGAGCCGCTGTGCGACGTGGTACGAAGAGGTACGAAGTGCCAACAGCCACACGCGAGGTGTCGAACCTTGAGCCCCCGCATGCATCCATCCAGGATTGCGCGGCCCACCGCAAACTCTGGTCTCTGGCCTCCACAGAGTTATCTGGATATTACGTATCGACTAGGCCTCACCCAGGCGCGTGCTGCACATGCCAATGTGCGTTCAGGTGAGAAAGTACGGATACATGATGCCATTGATATCTCACCAATGCATGAACAGGTCGTTCGACGTGGACTCGAGCCCTGTCACGAGCACTAGATCCTCTCCTGACAAGAGCGAAGGTGGACTGCTGATGGAGCCAGCATACGAGGAGAAATTTTTTTCTTCAGCTCGCGGCCGAACATCAGCATCGCCGGCCTTGTGTTTCCAGCTGGACAGTGGGCCTGCTTGACGGTGACTCAGTTGGTTTGCTGCTTGTCTAGAAAGCAGATGTCATCGTCCGCAATCATAGCTTTTCAGAGACGACTGTGGAGGTGGGACCTTTCCCACAAAAAGACTTGCGCACAGTTTGCGTGGAAAAAGCTTGTTGGTGCCGATCGCTCTCCGACGACCTGTTGATCTCTCTTCCTCCCTGAAGATCAACAGTGCCGATTGTCAGCTTCGACCAGCCACGACGCGTCCACGCTATCTGCTGGTACGATGTAGATGTGCAGATGCGTGGCATGCCCTTGGCACTGGTCTGTTCGAGGATCAGAGCTCTGTGCCCCGTATTGCATCACAAATCCTATCCCTCTGGACCAAGGTTGCTTTTACTGGTGCCCGTTCCACACGGAGGGAAAATAGGGCAGCTGCCTGCTGTCGTGCAAGAGTTACAGTGAAGACTGCCTACCTGTGCTCTGTACGAGTACATACGTACCTACTTTGCGCAATACCCAGCAGGGAGGCAATGAGACAAACCTTGTCATCGAGACAGCGATGGAATATATTCGACGATGCCGGACCTGCAGTGGTCCGTTGCGCCAAGTTCGGAACCGGCGGGCGCATCCATCTATTAGGTGTCCCTGGACCTGTTGAGTGCATATCGGTCATACAGCGCGACAGCTGAAGACCATCAGTGAAAGCTGCTCCATCCAAATGCCCGTCGTTTTTGCTTTCGACACCTGCTAGGGAGCACGCTAACCAGTGGCGACCACCTGCAGTTACCCCTGGACCGTGTTGAGGAGAGCTGAGAGTTTAACACGCCATATCACGCAAAGCGGCAACAACTGATCGATTTTGACAGCAGCCTGCACGTTTACTTCCCGTTGGCTGGCCGGCCTTGCAGCCCCAATTGCCCCATCCGCTTCTTGGGTCATTTTTGGACAAAGGCCGAGAGCGCAGCATGCCCTCCTGAGCGTGGAAATTACCACGAACAGGGAAAGACCGCGAGGAGGGAAAATAACAACACCAAATGGATGACATGGACAGGGCTCTCCAGACTTTGTTTATCTTTCCCATACCACAGTGTCTGCATTCCGATCTGGACGGGTGCCCACGCAGCTCATTGCCCTCTCGAGTGTCAATGCCCGGGAGCTCTCCGGACTACTCCGTGCTATCATTCAGTGTATCAAGTACGACACCATGCTCGACGACTGCAACCAGTCTCAAACAGCTCTCTTCCTCAGAAGCAGGCCATGGAGATGGGACGGTGCACCCTAACGCCATCACTGAAAGTCAAAACTCTTGGGCCTAGGTATGCATGCATGTACGAAGGCTCCAGTCCAATACTACTCCGTGCGCCGGGTCTGAGAAGCATGTGCATGCGCAGCCAACGGTGCGAGCTCAGAAACAGCCTTCACTGCAGCTCCACCCGAGCTGATGAGGTCGTCATACACAGCATCAACGTCTAGCTGACGGCTTGGTCCGAGGAAGACGCTCTGTCGATGCCAGTGAGTCCTGGGATTGCTCGACACGGAGTTCGGAGTCGCACATGGCGCTCGCACCCAACCTACCAAGGCCCTCTTGGCACAGTTTGATACCACAAATAAACACCAGCACCCAGCGATGGATACCAGCCGAATGGATACTTCTCGTACGAAGTATTATGGGCACCTCTCGTACCTCAGCCATTCCGCGTCCCCACTCGTGATAACCGCCCGCTAACTGGACTAAGCCCCAGCCTCCACACTGTTGCCGCCCGGGCTGATGGTACAGGCACTCGTATCTGAAGGGAGCCGAGGACAGGAGCAGGAAGCAGGATGCTGGAACTGCAGAGCAGCAGATGCATACGAGCCGGCGCCGGCACTTGGGGCAATGTCTGTGTGATTGCTGTTTTCTGCTGTCTCTCCATGCATGTAGGTATTTGCGCAGTCGTCAATGCTCGGTGTTCGTTCCACTGCGGTCTGAACCCCCGGGCAATTTCCCACCACACCTGTCGCAGCCGGAACCCAACCACACCACCTGATTCGCATCCAGTCTTTCATATCCTCCACCGCAATGGCTAGCGAGAAGAGGCGCCTGGATCCTCCGTGTGCAGAAGGGGACAGCAGCGAGGCAGGGATAGGGGCGGGCTACCTGAGCACTGAGCTCCGTCTTTTGTTGGCCTCACTCGCACCCATGGCTTACGAGATCGGCCTAACAGACGCAGCCCAGGCTCTACCGGCCGACAGGGGACCGAGTCTGATGGATGGTGGGTGAATGGGGATGGGATGGATGGACGAACTAGCCAGTCAATAGCCGGCACGCACGCATCTTAACGCCTGGCCGTCCGTCGCTCTCCTGAAGTTTGCATCCCTTTTCTCTTCTTCTCTCAACCCCTTCTTGTCGACCGCTGTCTTGTTCCTGCCGCTCTCTTCATTGCCCGCCAACGTCGAATTCGAGGTTCTGGGTGCGTCCTCCTCAGTGACAGCCTGGATTAGTATTGCATTGTCTCGCTTAGGCCCAAGAACACCTCCGTTTGGCTCATTTCCCCCCTCGTTGATAGCTGCCTCGGCTGCTTCGCTCGTTCGTGTTCAACTTCTATTTTTTCCTGGGCTTTTCTCCATCGGATCGGCATACCTTTCGCTCCTCGCGCCGTCTCTTGGCCTCTTGTTTACTCCTTGTTTGGCATAAACCACTGCCGCTTTCCATCGACTTCTTCACCATCTTCCCTGTATCTTCTTCTTCTGTATTTGTGCATTCCACCGTTGTTTGTTTGCTGTCGACCTTCGCTTTTTCTCCACGTCGTATCTTTCTTTGGGCTACCTCTTTTAATCTCTTCGCCCGCCTCCTATTCATTGCTTTTTGCATCCTTTCCTGGGCTCGCTCCTGGAATCACGAACTCGGAGCCCTGCGCGCTTACATTATTGCGCTGGCAATCCCGAGATTAATGTGAGTCTTGCGCTTTTCTTTGCCTAGCCTTGCGCATGCCGGACGCTCCCGGCCAACCACCTGGTCGTGTCTCACCCAGAAATACCTGCCCACCGCCAGACCCGGCTTACCAAGGAGGAGGAACCTTTTCCAACTTTTCCTCCCCCCAAACAAAGTCGACGTCAATTCACTGCGGCCTCGTCACACTCGCGATTTGACCTACTGACAAATACGGGAGACGAAAACTGAAAACAATATGCGTTAGACGGGCATTTGCTAATGTTGGATATCTCTCTATGCAGCCATCCGTCGAGCTCTGTGTCGCCCAACAAGTTTGACGCGATTACAGCTGACAGCCACTCAGACGATCCGTTATTCGTCGCATCCGTCCATTCATCACCGGACCTCGTATCGCCAGGGTTCTAAGCCTGCTGACCCGTTGCCACCCCTCAGCGATCGGAAAATTATTGGGCACCGTCGGAAAAAATCCCGTCGAAGCTGCAGGATAGGAGGTGCTGCCAAAATTTGATCTAGAAGCTTCCCTTCTCGTCGTCTTCATGCCTAGATTCTCAGTTGCCTTTGCCCGGCGGAAAAGCACCGCAGACGACATCGAAAATGCTGAGGTAGCGCCAGCTGGACAGTCTTCGTTTAGGGTTTTGGAACGACACGACTATTCGGGTGTCAAGTCGTTTGACGGAGGGGCCAAGATGGCAAGAGCCTCGGGGGCTCTGCTCGCGAAGCCTGATCTCCAGGCCGACGACAACATGTTTTCTGATATGAAGGGTAACCGGTAAGTCTCGATCCTTTCAGCCTGCTTTTTTTTTTTTTTTTTTCCTACCTTATGGTGGAAGTTGCTAACTTCATCAAGTGGAAGCGGCTTATCCAACACGACACACACCACGTCTACCGACACCTCTTCACGCCACAGCAATGCATCCACGGCTCCGTCGTCAGCCGACTTCAGCGGCGGCAATTTGTTCCACGATGATGGCCGGCCACCCAAGAGCTCATCCTCGGATATGCACGGTCGTGGGAGCGGCAACAAGTCCATCGGTTCCAAGTTCCTAGACAAAGCTGGCCGCACTTTCTCGTTTGGTGGACAGAAGAAGTACAGCATTCCCCCGCCGCTGGAGGACCCTCCCATGCCGGACTTGCGGCCACCTATGCCCATCATGACCGAATCGGGACGAACTGGATCAAGAGGTACGACTACATACACGCAGGCCCCAACCGTCCCAACCGTCCCAACCGTCCCATCCGCCCCAGCCATTACCCGCAAGCCAGCCCCCCGTAGACCCGAAGTTCTGGACGTAGGTAGTGACTTTGGATCAATGTTTTCAGGATCGGCTTTCGAGAAGCGCGCAAGCATGGCTACGCTCAAGAACGACGACCTGGCCTCGCCCCGGCTCCTCACAGGCAACCCCCAGGCACAACAACCGATTCCGCACAGCCCGGACACGACGACGCAAGCAGAGCCGTTGCTCAGCTCGTGGAACAGACCGCAGTCCAAGGTCATCGTGGATGACTATTCATCGGACAAGAGCTCGCCGACATATGACAGCCCCCCACGCGTTCCGAACCATTCATCTCCTCGATATCAATCGCCGCCACGACAAGCACCTGCTAGGCAATCGCCTCCGGCCGAGCAACGGCCAGCTCATCAAGAACCATCGAGTCCGGACGAAACACCAGACGACGAGGACGCGCAGCTCCTGGCAGAGACTTACACTGCTATTCAGCTCCTTTCGGCCGAGGATGACGAATTCGAGGACAATCCGCAGCAGGGTCGATACCGGCGGGAGGAGGATAACTTCACGGCGGCTCCCAGGCAGTCTAAGCCGGCTCCCAACCCCAACAATGCCAGAAATGGAGACGGCGGGTTTGAAGCCAACAGGCCTCGATATCAGCAGCCCCGTCGATCGCACGACGGCGCGCCTCGGAACAAGGTCATGACTCCAGCCGAATTCGAGAAATATCGCGAAGATAAGATTCGCCATGACAGGACGAACAGCACGTCGAAGGACGACGACGAGGACGATATCAATTACGAAGACGAGGAGGACGAGGCTGAAAAGTCCAAGCAGCAGGCGAAACAGCGACGGAAGCAGGAGGCTCACATGGCTGTGTACCGACAGCAGATGATGAAGGTTACGGGCGAAACCAACCCGACCAATGGACTGGGCATTCCTGCTTCGTTGAGCGCACCGCAGCTTGGCCATATCAGGACCTCTTCGCTTGACCCGGCAGCAGCACCGCCGCCCCTACCCGCAACCGCAGCTGCCACGTCCGGCGCATCTGGCGCGTCCGATGAGGCCGACGACGACGAAGAGATCCCGCTCGCCATCTTACAGGCACATGGGTTTCCCAACAAGAACCGACCCCCGACTCGGCTCAGTATGATGGGATCAAACCCCAACATGCGCGCCTCTGCAATGCTTGCGCCGGGACGGCCGTCGTCGGCCATGGGAGAATCTGCTGCTGCTTCCCGACGCCACTCCACCCTTCCGGCCTTTGCCAGGAACCTGCCACAAGATCCCTTCATCGGAGCGAGCATTGCGCAGCCGGCGCTCAGGGAGTCTCTATCCTTCAACGAGATGGGTCTGGGCCCCAAGCCACCGTCGCCGCTGCCTCCCGGAGGCCTTGTCGGTGTTATTGCCAGCGAGGAGCGACAGAGGGCGATGCGACGAGGAAGCCCCAGTGTTGATCCCTCAAGGCTCATGGGCAGCGGCTACAACACCCCTCCTGGAGTTGACCCCATGGCCGGCATTCCCCCCCACATGATGTATCCCCAGGCTCAGATGGGAGGCGGAATGCCCGGCATGATGCCTGGCATGATGCAACCGCCGATGCAGCAGCCGATGCTCAGTGCTGGTGACCAGGCTCAGCTCCAGATGACGCAGCAAATGTCGCAGTTTATGCAGATGCAGATGCAGTTTATGCAACTCATGGCTGCAAACCAGAACAGCGGCGTGCCGCAGCAGCAGCAGCAGCTACACCCCCCATTTCAGCAACCTTTTGGCGGTCTGATGGGCAACCAGTCCATGGTTGATCTCTCCTCTCGCAACTCTGTTGTTGGTGAGCCGACGCTGGAGCCTCGCCGTGGTGATTACGGTAGCATGCGAACGATGAGCATGGTGCAGCCCGGCTCGGCGCCGATGGCTCATCCTGGATATGCGGGATCTGTACGGTCGTCTATTCATGGCTATACCCCGTCGATTGCACCGTCAGAGCGAAGCAACATTGGCCTGCCCAACCGTTACAGGCCCGTCTCCCAGGCTATCAACCATGGCTCGCTTGGCCACATGCAGTCACACTCGTTCTCCGGAGCTCTGTCGGCTTTCACTGACAACAAAAACAAGACATCGATGAGGATTGTGAGCAAGTCCGCTTCGGATGATGACGACGATGAAGAAGGTTGGGAGGCGATGAAGAATAAGAGAGAGAAGAAGAGATCTCTCTGGAGAAGCAAGAAGAATCTGAGCTCGGTCATCTGAGCAGGTGATGTCATATACCGGACCATAAAGTGTCTCTTCACCCCCTCTCCTTTGTCTTATCCTGCAAGCGAAGAGCTGATGTGTATGGATGAACTTTTGGCGTGCGTCTGTCTGTGGTACGAGCCTACGCTTGTGCGAGTCTGAGCACGAGTGGGCGTACGAGCAAGTATGGGGTGTGCGTGTGTCCGTGTGCGTGTGTTTCGCCCACCTTGTCGAGTCAGGGGAGACGCCGAGCGCGAGGTCAATAATTGGATTTGTATGTTTTTGGTTGTTTTTTCGACTTGGACCTCCCCTGACGCTGCTACGCCCAGAAGTATCATGGCCCGTTATATTATGCAGCGCAACGCGGTTGAAAAGAAGAAAAAATAATTTATCTTTTTGAGGTTTAGATGTTTTTGTTTGGGGACGTCCGCTGAGGCGTCAAATGGTTGGATCATTTGTCTGGACAGCTTTGCGTCACGCATGATAGAGATGGCTCTACGCCGTAATTGAATAATTTATCTGCAGTGGCTCTCTTTTCTTGAACAACTTCTGGCGTCTTTCATCGTCCATGTGAGGTAAAGCATGGATATAGATAGGCCTTTGAGATCAAGATATAATAGAGGACAAGGAAGGGAGGCTGTGAAAATGATCATCTCATGATCCAACCCGTTGTTTGATTCCAAAGCGGCTGATATCTCTTATTATCTCTGCAGCGCTTATAAGAGAGATGGTGATGTCAATCCCATCAGCCAAGTGATAGTCCACGGTACATGTTTGACTCCATGGAACAGTTATTGGCTCTATTCTTGCCAATTTCCTGCTATTGGCTTGCTGATGTCTGAATGAATATCTTCCCAACAGATGGGTCGCTTCTCTCAATTGCGCACACGGCTATTCCTTCTTTTTTCTCACATTTTACTTTCTTTGAATGTTACGCTATGCAACTCTAGTAGCCGTCTTAGCCCTGAATCTTACCCGTCGCCCACTCATTCTTCTTGACGCCCATCTCCACAGCCGCCAGGCCCCAGTCCTCGCCGTGGTTGTGGCCCTTGCCAGCGGCGCTGGTGCTGATGCCCGCGCGGGACTGGGCCTGCTCGTCGTTGAGCACCGTCAGGACGCCGAAGATGACGGGGATGCCAATGTCGAGCTGGACGCGCATCAAGCCCTGGGAGACGGCGTCGGCAATGTACTCAAAGTGCATGGTCTCGCCCTTGATGAGGACGCCGACGGCGATGATGGCGTCAAACGGGCCGCTGGAGTTTGCGCCTGCGGAGAGGGCGGTTAGGTCGCTGGTTGAGGCGCCGAGGAGGTCGGTGGCTGAGGGGGCGCCGGAGGCATTGGACTGAATCTGCGAAGCAGAGAAGAGTCTGTTCACAGGAGAGTTGGAAGGCATATCAGCAAATGGTTGTGGAAAATGGGAGAGAAGAGCAGGAGGAGGGGTGGTAATGGAGGGGGAGGGGTTTGGCTCATACCGCTGAACAGCAATGGGGAGCTCCCAGGAGCCGGGGCAGGACTGGATGACAATGTTGGACTCCTTGACGCCGGCCTCGAGCAGCTTGGCCTTGGCGCCGGCGACCAGAGGGTCGATGATGGTTGAGTTCCAGCGGGCGTGGACGATGCCGATGCGGAGGCTGGAGCCGTCGTGGTGCTGAGGAGCCGGGCCCTTGAGGGAAGACATGATGCTGTTATGTGACGGCTGGATTATTGGGTTGGAAAAGAGATGCTGAGGGGGGATAATCTGGACTGATGGGTTATCCAAGAGTGCTTATGCCGAAAAGAAGAGGAATTGATGTCGAGATCAAGAGACAGAGAAGGACGAGACTATACTAACATGCGACGAAAGCTCCAAGGGACCTCATGCGAAACAAAGCTGACTGATCTTCTGATGCTTGCGGCGGGGCAGCAGCGACAGGCACAAAAGCGGAAGTGGAATGGCGGCAGCAGCGGCGGGGTTGTGAAGAAAGTCACTGGTACGAAGCGTCGCACCTTCTACCATTGGGGAGCTGGAGCTGCGGTGGGCGCCGGAAAACGTCATTTTTCTTGCTGCAGGAACTGGCCGGCAGGTGACACGCAGCAGTGACCTCGGCAGGAGGTCGCTTTCAGGCGCCGCGATTACGAAGCAGCTACAGACTTACGGTATCGTGCGGGTCATTTGGGGACCCTCTTTCCCAAAGCTGGTACCTTATGCTGCACTTGTATGGAGTACCTTCAAGTTATTGAAGACTCCTGCCGACTGAGAGCTCGAAATCGACAGGAGATAGCAGGATATCGCAGCTTCCTTCGCTTACAACGGCCAATGGTAGTTCGAATTATTATCGGAAGGAGAGACTGAATAAACCTCCAGTATGTCCCTGCTAGGCAGGAGACGGATGTCCAAGCAATGGAAGGAGTGGTGGCCATGATGGAGGCCTTGCGATGGCTTCGACTCTTCATCCTCTACCGCAATATCGTGAGATTTCCAGCGAGACAATACCAATATCTGGGTATCTTGTTTCAATCTTATTACTTCATCTCAACCATATCAGCCAACTCAAGGATGTCGCCTTAGCTCATCAACGCAATGCCAATATCAGCTCTCCCTCAGTCCACCGTGCGCCTTCTCGGCTCCTCAGTCACCATCAATACCCCCTGCGACGTTGTCAAAGAGCTTCTCGACAACGCCATTGACGCCGGAGCTAGCTTTGTTGAGATCGCAATCTCGTCGAACTATCTTGACATCATACGAGTTCGGGATGATGGCCGCGGAATCGACGTTGACGACTTCGGCTCTCTTGGCCGGCGTGCTCACACAAGCAAGCTGACGTCCTTTGAAGAGCTTGGAGCGGTAGCCAGAGAGACACTGGGCTTCCGTGGCGAAGCCCTTGCGGCTATGAATACTCTCGCCAGTGTCACCGTCACCACACGCACGATGAACGATGTTGTGGCATCTCGCCTGCAACTCAAGGCTGCGGTTGGGGGCGTTGACAACAAACAGCCAGTATCAGCACCCGTCGGCACAACCGTTCAGGTCGCCAAGCTTTTCGAAAATCTGCCGCCAAGGAAGCAATATTCGCTAAAGAATAGTGCCAAATACATACAATCTACAAGGGATCTCCTGAGAGGATACGCATTTGCCCGTCCCGATATCAGACTATCATTCAAGGTACTCGGAGAAGCCACCAGTTGCTGGTCATACGCTCCGACTTGCGCTGCAGGAGTCAAAGAGGCAGCTCTCCAGATGTTTGGTGTTGCCTTGGCTAATAGTTGCATCCACGTGTCTCGCAATTCAGGATGTGATCAGGAGGCATCGGCCCAACGCAGTCAACAGACATCGGAAGAATTCATATTGGAAGCTCTCATACCAAAACCCAGTTCCGATATCCAACAAGTCAGAGGAAAGGGAACTCATATATCCGTTGACTCGAGGCCAATCTCATCCAGCTGCGGCCTTGGTAAAAAGGTTACAACTATTCTCAAGGCAGCCTTGAACCGAGTTGTTGACCCTGGACAATTGTTTGCCAGCATATCCACCCCCTTCATGCAGCTCAATATTCGGTGCCCCCCTTATAGCTACGATGCCAATGTGACGCCGCTGAAGGATGACGTTCTCTTTGCAAATGAGAGTACAATCATTGCCTGCTTTGAGGGACTGTGCCAAAAGATATACCCACAGAAGTCCATTGAAGCTCCTTTCTCGACCCAGACAGCCGTGGACTGTCGAAGAGAGGCCGGGGCATTCACAAGAGGTTTGTATCAGCATGGAAAGAACCATATGCAGCTAGACAAGGCAACTGACCATGATATAGACAGCCAAGCTGCAGACAGTCCCTTAGGCATTCATCTCTTACATACCACGGAGCAGCCGACCGCGCATCATGAAACAACCAGCAAAGACCAACCAACCGACCAAGAAACCACGTCTTCTTTGCTGCTTCCGGAATCTTGCGCGCAGGATGCGACATCACTGACGGGAATGAGGACATCAAAAACCGTAAACATGGCTCGTACCAACAGCAACTCTACTGATGAGGACAGCACTGCCAACTGCCTTGACATACAAGTGCCCCTCTCACTTATGACTGCTACCCCTGTTCCTGCCCAACGAGCCGATGTCAGCTCGCGCATTCCCAAAAAGTGTGCCTCGGAGAATATTGAAAGATATCTCCTTTTGCGGCGGAAGAACGACACCTTCCAGATTGCGACGGACGAAACGGCAACCAAGAAACCTCAACATTTGTCCACATCGACTGGAATCATCTCTGGTCGTATGCCTTTACAGCCATTGACTGAGTCCATGCTGAATGCACTGAACAATCAGGTAGATTCGGAATCTGATACGATGAGTGCTGCCTCTGAAATATCGGAGCCGACTCACAGAGGACAAAGGTTCCAGCAAACGTCTCCCGGCCCCATTCCTCGTGTGCCTGAGCCCGTGTCCTTGGAACAGGCCATTTCTCCTCATCCTGCAAGAATCCCTAGAGATTGGCCAACACCCCCTTCGTCTGGCAATATGCGAAGCGGGAGAGGGTTGAACTCTCCCTTCAGACCTCCAATGAGGACTTCTCAAAGAAATAGTCCGACAGGGAATCATGCACAGGTGCATGCGCGGCCACGGATTAGGGCCCCGGAAAATGGCAGGGTGATACCATTTCGTCTACCTGGGCAAAACCGCATCCAGCGGCAAGTGGCACATGAACATCTGAACCTACGAGTTGGCTCGCGAGCCACCGCCAATTCCAATACCGCAGAGACTCGTTCTCAACCACACGCCCAAAGAGGACATGGTAATCGGCACAGAGACAATGCGAACCAAGCTCTGATGCAGGTCTCTGAACTAGCTTCGCGGCCGGATACCCGACAACATGTCTCACAGCTGCGTCCTTCTTTGCAGGGGCCGGGCCCACAATCCCAGACTTTGCAAACAAGCTTGATGGAAAGCTTATCCTTCGGTGTCACATCACCAATGCCGGATACCGCTCAATATGGCTTGAATGCTGGCGACAATGTCTTACAAACTTGGACGCCTGATATTTTCTGTGATACGCAGCAGGATATTGCACCACCTGGCAGGGTGATTAACAGTACGGAGGACCCAAGACTCTACCTCATCAAGCGGCGACGCTCACGAGCGAGATATGGCATTGCGAGGCGACTTTCTACACGCCGACTCCCCCTGGAGGTTATTCCTCATGAGTTGGCAGTACAAAGTGCTTCGACCTCTCTAAGGGCTTCCTTGAGGAAGGTCAAGTTACTGGCCAGACGAGCGCGTTTGCTGGGATACGATGTCGTGCCGGGCAACGGAATCGAGTTCAATACTATGAAGGAAGCTGGCAAGGTGGAACAGGGCCTTCAGCATGCAGTGGAAGCGTGGAAGCAAACTCAGGACCAGGCTGTTGATGTGGAATACACGCTCCGCTCGGCAGCCAAAGGCAAGGGTGTCTGCATTTGACTACATTTGAAGATTGATACCTGAGGTCAAAGCCATTTGTCGAAGTTGATGTGGATCCACACTGAGGTGAAACGCTTGGGCGAATCTCGAACAAAAGATTGATGCAAAAACGGGCTTATTAACGTGCCATCTACTAGTCAGAATCACATGTCCAATTGATTGATGCTTCTAGAGCAAAGCCAGAAGGCCATTCGGTATATACTTTTGTGGTCACTGTTGAGTCGTTATGCCATTTTGATCTCTTGCTTACCGCTGACAGTGTAGGTTGCCGGCAGATCCGGGAGATGATTTGGCCAAAGCGAAGGGCGAAGGCATTTCGTGGTGTAGACGTCATGGACGATTTGACATCGGATGGAAGACAGAAAGTGGATATGGGCCGGAGTCTGCACGGTGATGCCGGACCGGCAATGCAGCTTGCTGGAGAGCTTACAAGGGGGGCCCTGTGTCTCCGAAATCTTCTGCAGTACGGAGTAAGAAGCATGGAGCATGCGCACGAAGCATTTCTCAGCAGAACAAGGGAAGCAAAACAGCTCGGAAAAATTCAAAGAGAAATCTCGGGATAAGTGAGTGGGCGTCGCAGGTTATGTCTTGATCGAGTCGGTATCTCCGCCTGCCCTATATATCTTGAGTGTTCGTATGAACGGAGTACAATGCAGGGCAGTACGCGGCTTCCAAGGTTCGATGGTTTCTAGAGGACGATCTTTTGCGAGGGTCAGTGCTCGCGGGTGCGAGGTGCATGTAGTATGTACTGGTACCGTTGCATGGATTGCTACGGAGAAGCGAGCGGGTTTAGGTGCGTGGCTCGTATACGCGGATTGCGCTTTTCTTCTTTGTACTGATACCTACTCTGCAGGAGAAATGTTCGTTGATGTGGTTGTTCGAGCCATGAAGATGGATGTTGAAGAATGCTGGGTTCATATAACCTGTTCTACATATGGTAACGAAACAAACGATGTGATGTCACTCGAGCTATGGACATTTTATCTGAATGGACAAGATAGTCAAATAGCTATTGGGAATTAATCGTCATCCAGAAATGGCATTACATGTCAGAAACGCACAGAAGCCAGCTCGTACATACGATACGCATACAAGGACGATGGGGCGCACAAGTGTCCAATCATCAGCGCCAAAAGGGGGGGAAGACGGGACAAGGTTGGCTTGAAGCCCCCGGCGTCCTTGCTTGAGATTGGGGTTATAAATAGGCACAGCGAGCCTGGAATGGCTGGAGACTTGACGTTTGCCCTAGGATGAAAGTCGACTAAGGCGGGAGGGGACCCCCGGCGCTGGGCTTTGGGGCCGGGAAACTTCGTATTGGACATGAGTAGGTACAATCTGCTGATTATGGATGATGGTAGTTGTGAAAGATGGGCTGTAGTTTTGCTGGGGAAGAGGTATGCTGTTTGGTGATGTGTGAACTTTGTTGCGGTATGATATGGTAAGATACGATGTGAGCGGGTATGATGATAAATATTTGTATCTTGCAAGAAGCTTGGCTTGTGTGAGTTTAATCGCAGTGATAAGAGATCAGGAAGATGCACCCGTGCCAACGTCACCACCTTCTACATACCTACTCTTCATCCCGTGTGTGGCTCTGCTGATGTCAAGCCACTTCTGGGCAGGGTATTCCCGCGTGCTCAGCTGCTTTCACATATCGCCTGCATGACTGTAAGAGCTCGTATTTGCCCGGGGTAAGCAGGACTGAGAGCGGGAAATGCCATGTTCTAGAATGGGAGGAAGTGAAGAAAAGGACAAAGAGAAAAAAGGCGAGAGAGAAGAGGGGAAGAAGGATCGAGGTGGGGTGTTAACTCCCGGAGTGCCTGTAGCTTGAAAGCGTTTAGCACTCCGTTTCTTTATCCAGAATAAGAATACCCGCTCTGCGGTAGGCTTGGGATGTTTCTTGCATGAAGGCATTTTTCGTCTTAGGAGTGGCTTGTCGGCACTCCGATTTGGCTGTCCGCCTTCTCAGCAAATACCAGATATGTTTCTATTGCTGCTGCTATTGTGACAATCTTGGCAGGAAAGAAGGGTCCTTCTTTCTGTTAGTATATCTATATACTCATACAACTAGGCTTTGAGTTCTGGCAAATCGAGTACATGGAGGACAAAGACTAGCTGTTTACTCTGGGATGCTGGATAATCAAGTTGGACTGCTAAATAGCAACTTCGTTTCTATTTTGATTCATGCAGAAATATGCACACTGGACATACGGGTGATGCGTGCAGATGATCTGGATTGAACTCGTATATGCGAACAGAGGAAGGCAGTGAGAGCACCACTACATGTAGGTAGCTGAGCCGTAAGCAGAAGCTGTGGCTATTCATACTCAGTCCATGACCGGTAAGATTACCATGTAAAGAACAAGACATAGAACGCACTCGCATTATCGGTTAAACAAAGAAAGGTACTCGTTGTCATGTACAGCGACTGAGCAAGATGCCGCGCGCATTGCGGCCCCATGAAGCCATCGTGAAGACTCAATGCATGCACGATGAAGTCAACGGGTTAGTACGGACTCAAGTAGCCTCGTACCGGTACAAGCGGGAGCTCGTAACTGCCATGGGGACATGGAACGGGTCGTTTCAGGCCGTGGGCGCCACAGCAGGTGCACTGCCACTGTTTGCTCGCTTCTGCGGGAGACGCATGTTGACGTTTCTGTACCGCTACCAGAACTGCTGGATGTAACCTCGTGTTGCGTGGTGACGCGGAGTATGAATAGCTTCAAGTTGTGATCAGAAACAATGGAGGATTCATGAGCCGCTGTCAGTGAGTGTCTATACTGAGTGAGAGAGGTCAGGCTGAAGTCCAGGCAAGGTACCCGAGCTCCAACAGCTCAATTCCAAGCCACCATCTCCAGGCGACACCCGCGCCTGTGCTTGTGCCTGTACTTGCACCACCTCGCCCGCCGTCCCCAGAGCTCCAGCGGCCAGAGCGCCCCGAAAAGCCCCCAGCACCCCCCAAACAGGCCCCGACCACAGCACCTCAGACACTGCCACTCTTGCCGCTCCACCCCAGCTCTGGCCATCGTCTGTGCCGTCCAACATCCAATCCGTTTTTTTCTTCCTCTGCCCTTTTCTCTTCCATCCTCTGCTCAATCGAATCCCTTCTGCAACGTCTCACGATTCTAACCTCCAGTCCCTCGTTTGTCCTTTCTGCTTCGCCCTTGCACTCGCTCGCACAGCCCTTTGCGCTCGCCTCTTTATCCCAATTATTCTCCCCTTGATTCCGCTGCTGTGCCGCTGAAGATGCGCGACGTCTGAATGACAGCCTAGAGATGGCCCCCTGGCTCTCGATGCCCACGATGCATCATCCATCTGGTCGCCGTGGTTGCGACAGCACCCGAAGCAGCCACCACGACGCCTTTTTCCGCGGCCGGCATGAGTCGCGCACAGTGTCTGCGGCCTCATCCAAAGGCCATCGATTCTCAGCCTCGCCGCAGGTAGCCGTGGGCTCTTGCTCGGCGCTCAAGATGCGGCAATCCGTGGAGGGGAGCGCCCAACAAGGCTGCGTCATCCGAGCGCGAACGACCAAGTGCGGCAATCAGAGCAGCAGCAACGACAGCAGAAGCCGCAACAGATTCAGCAATCGCGGTCGCATCTTCGCATGGGCCACGAGACCCGCGTGGCTCGTTCTCACCCTGCTCGCCCTCATCCTCGTCGCGACACCGGCCGCCGCCGTCCTGGTCGAGTTCGACAACTGCCTCCCCGACTCGTACCGCCTGCACAAGCCGCCGCTGCTGCAATGGGAGCCGCTGTATGTCGACGCCGTCTTCGACACCAAGACGCCCAACCACAACCTGCAGGTTATTGTGTGGGGAAACGTCACGGGCTCGCAGAACCTCAGTCCGCTCCCGCCTCCGAACGACCCATACTGGACGAATCCCGATGACACCAACGGCAAGATCGAGCAGACGCCCTACGTCGATACGCTTGCCACCACTCTGGTCCGGAGAGTCAACGTCTTGACGTACGAGCCATGGAACGACCGCTCCAATTTCTGCGCGGACAGCCTCGTTAATGGCACTTGTCCCTTGCCGCCTACCTTTGGCAACGTGTAAGTCGACCGTCGTCTCATCGTCATATCATGTCATCGCCATCACCCCTCTCTGTACCCCCGCCACCTCCTGCGCTCTCGCCTGTACTTGTGGCATACAGCAGGAGCTTGGCCTTAATTTTTTCTCGCCAGATGAGCTTTTTATGTATCTTATCTTGATACCACCTCAGATATAGTTGACTGACATAAACTTCATCGTGTAGTGACCTCCCCTACGGACTTCCATCGGTAAACCTAAGTCACGACTTCTTCTCCTCATACTCCTTTAGCTCCTTCGCCGTCACCTTTCTCCTCATCAATGGCGATCAGGCAGCCACCAACATTGGCTGTGTCTCTGCCACCATCACCCCTAATCTCGGCAGCGTCTCCTGGGTGCTCAAATTCATGCCCCTTCTGGTCCTGCTGTTTGCTGGGTTCGCGATTCCATTTGCTGGAATTTGGAGCCCCTGGGGCACTACCAATGTCTTTCATTGGACATCCAACTATGGCCGGGATGCTGACCTGCTGCGGCTTGTCACCCCTGGTTTTAGCGACTGTCTGCAGTACATCCAGTTCATTGTTCTGACCGGCGCCCTGACTCTCGATTACCCCGGCTACTTCCAGCCTGTAGTGAGCCAGGTTGGGTGGTCATCGCTCATGTTCAACGAGAGTTTTGTCGCCCGTGCCGATCCGTGGCAGAACCTGGAGGACGGCATCTATGTGACCAAGCCGGGTACTACCTATGGACTGCAGAAGATGGCTCAGCTGATTGGCATGTCCGAGGCTGAAGATGTATGGCCGGGTATGATGGTGTGGCTCTGCGTCATCATCGCCTCCGTCATTGTTCTCATCCAGCTTGGCTTTGCCGTTCAGTGGATCTTCCGCAAGATCAGAAGGACCACCGAGGAGGACCTGCGGGCAAAGAATATCCCGTTTGTCATTGGCAACGTGGTCCGCATCGTCTTCAACTTCATGCTGATGCCCATCGTGGCTCTGTCATGCTTCCAATTCGTCGTGTCCGGCCAGTCGCCGGGCTGGACCGTTGCCTTGGCTGCGCTGACACTGGCGTTAGTCATTGGCTTTGCGGCCTATCTGCTGTGGCTCATCATCACAACGCGGCCGAAGTCGGTCTTGTTCGATGATCTGCCCACGGTTCTGCGCTACGGACCTTTGTACAACACATATGCCGACGAGGTTGCTGCGTTTGCTCTCATACCCATCCTGCTCAACGTCATTAGAGGCGTTGCCATTGGTGCCGTGCAGCCGAGCGGCGTTGCTCAGGTTGTGCTTCTGGCCATTTGCGAGGTCATCCAGATTATCATGATCTACGCCTTTCGACCATATCAACGAGCTACCTCGATGAACATCTATCACAGCCTGTTTGCGGGCCTGCGACTGATTATCATCATCCTCATGGTCACCTTTGTGCCCAGTTTGGGCGTTACCGAAGGTCCAAAGGGCTGGATCGGTTATGCCATTTTGCTGCTCCATGCTTGCGTGCTCGCCCTGGGCTTCTTCCTCGGCGCTGTGCAGACTATTATTGAAGTCATTGCCAGGTTGTTCGGTGCCGGTGGAGACGACGTCACTGGATTGACCCGTGGCGGCCTGTCCAAGATCTTCGGCATGAGGCAGCTCTCCAGGAGAGTCAACCACCGCCAGGGGCCGTCGCGAGCCAGCCAGCTGTCCACCGCGGCTATGCTGGATGCCGATGATAGCGGCAAATCTGGCTTTGTGATGCCGAGTGGCAGAGTCCGCAGCGGCTCCGTGGCTAGCCTCAGCGGTGTCATGGCCCACCATCGACATCGGAGCAGCTCAGCTCTTGATAGCATGTATTCAGCCGCACAACGGAATGTCGACACGGCGAGTTCATACGTCCCAGGGACGCCGGGCGAAGCCAGCACCTTTTCGTTCCTCGCATCGCCCTCTGCTGCTCGCCAGGGTCCGCCTGGAGTTGTGGTAGAAGCCTCTGATCCCTATTATCGCCCTCCACGGCGGCGCCGTGAGATGACTGGCGACTCGGGGCAGCTCGACGGCCGGCGTGACTCGCTCACCATTGAGCCTGTCCCTCAGCCCGGAGGGCTAGCCCCTGAAGCTCCCGACTCAGGGGCCGAGATTTCGCGAGGAGCCACTCCAGCGCCAGGCCATGGCGGCAATAACCTTTCCATCAGCTTCCCCGCAAATCGACCGGACTACTCGACCCGCGAGGTTGACTTTTACTATGGCGTTCGGGGTCCAGCTTTGAACTCGGAAGGCCCTGGCAGGAAGCTCGGAACTGGCCCTGCAGATCCCACCGGGCCGGCCGCGACCGCTGCTGGATGGCTCCGCAGCCTGCTCTTCGGCGGTAAAACTAAGGAGAAGGGCAAAGGCTTTGAGGTCGTCAGAAGCGCTAGGATGCCGCCCAACATGGTTCGAAATGGAGGCTTCGGAGACGAGACGCCGCCGGAGGGCATCCCAGTCGCCATGGGGGTCATTCGAAACGGACCCATCGATTCTGATGACGACGATGAGCCTCAGATCAGGAGGCCGAAGCGTCGGGAAGGCGAGCTTCTTACCGACAACGGCGACCCGCAGTCGGAGTCTGACAACGGTGAGCCTGATAGCCCCGTCACGGATCGACTCCCTCGCGGGCGTATGTCTCAATCTGCCGTCGCCTTGGGTTCAAAGAAGGCAGAGGCTTCGCGCGACGGGGTGGATAGTGAAGGAGTCAGCGATGTGGATACGTCTGACGCTGATGATAATGCACCCGTCATTCCACGAAAGAGTTCCAAGAGACACTCGGCCTTGCTAGATCGCAACACCCAGATCACGCCTCTTGTCCGGATTGATTCCCAGACGAGGCGTCCTGAGAGCCGAGCATCCCAGCAGACAGCGCAGACGGAGTCGACTCTACAGCAAGGCGGTGTATCACTGCTGCCTCGTCTCCCGTTTGAGCGGAGAGGCTCTGATAGACGGTCAGACCAACGGCCGTCTTCAAAATCGTCGCTCGACTTTCCGGATCTGAGAAGCATAGACTCGGCAACGCAGGATGATCCTGCCGGTTTTGGAACTGTTTCTCACCACAGCATCAGCCGCGTTGACCCCCAGCCTGTGGATGATGACATGTTGAGCACTGCCGCGTCTGTCGTGGATGATGCGCACTCTGGGAAAGACATATGATTTCTGCAGACTCGTTACAGGCAGACTACTGAATAAATCAATGCCAATGGTAAGAAGATGAGAAGAAACGAGAAACGAGACAAAAAAAGCGATCCATTCGTCTGCAACACCATGACCAGCATGAAACTGAGATTCATTCCGCTTCAGCAAGCTTGAGCGTGTTTTTGGCGACTCTTTTGGTCTCTTCGTCTTGCCATTTTGCCGTTCCTTGGCTTGATTTCTTCTCTTCTACCACCCTTTACTCTCCTTTTACTAATCTAATCCGTCTTCTTTTTCCTATCTGCATAGAGTCAAATGGACATGACCCAGGGAGAAACACGAGAGTATTGCGGGAAAGGGGTGACGGTCTAATTTCCTTTTTTTTTCCGTTTCTCAATTTTCTTTTGTCGTCAAGGGTTCCAAGGTTGATACAGAAAAAATGCCCCTTTTCTTTTCAGGATGCGATCCAAGGGGCAGGGGAGACTTCACGGTAGCTGGCGTTTTGATCATTTCCGACCTCATATTTACAACTGCTGCACGCAGACGGCGGGATGGGGCTTTTATTGTTTTCGGGATGACGGATGGGGCTTTTGGGATGTTTGAGCATGTGTTGACGAGTTGTGTGTGTATAAGGAGAAATGCATGAGCATCACTTGAAATCTGAATTGGCCCTGTGAGAAAGAGGAAGTGTTGGGAGGCTATGTATTTACCAACACCTGTGCTCCGTAAACCATGATGGAGATGTAATCTGGCCAGACTTATATACGTTTGACCTTTCTGAGTGTCTTTGTATGGGGTGATTGTCTTGCTCAGTGGCTTAGTGAGGGCTGTGTTGTGGCAGTTGATGCTGCTTATCTCAGAATATCAAAATTCAATGGCTTCCATACGATGTTCACTTAACCCCTGGCGGTAGAGGAAAAGTGTCGCGTAACAAGAAGTAAATTGCCATCATGGGGTATAGCAGCTACATTAGAACAGGTAGGTAGGTAGCTATTTTATACAAAGGGCAAAAAGAGATCATGAATACCTATGGTTCCCTGGCATCAACCAAACCAGCCCAAATCTCGCAAGTCTCTCGTCTGTTCAAGCAAATTCCCACTATTATCAAGCCCTCGTTACCAACCTTTATATATGATGAGACAGACAAAAAGGAATTCGTCAGTTGTGCGATATAAATCAAGCGATCAGAATGGTAACCCACTTCGCAACGGAGTGACGTGCCGCTCTATTTCACGCCCAGGAAGCCGACGCCCGCCCTCGCCTTCTTGACGGCCCGCTTGAGCGCCTGCTCCTCCACGTCCGTCCACTTGACGCTCAGCTCGTCCCACTTCTTGCCGGGGGTGTTGTACTCCCTGCGCCACTGGGCATGCATCTGCTGCAGCTGGGCCATCCTGCGCGGGTCGCCGGAGCCGCTGTAGACGATGAAGGCCGTGCAGGGCGGGAGGGCGGCGTGGATGCGGACGAGCCGCTCCGTCAGGCGGGAGAGCGCCTGCTCCAGGGGAGAAGACGACGGCAAGTCGGCGGAGCCGGGCTCCAGCAGGGAGTCCACGTCCATGTCGGGCATGTTCTTGTTCCACCATCCCTGGAGGGCTTCCAGCTCGCGCATGCGGCCCCAGACAAAGTCCACGCCGCCGGCCCTGATGACGGACCCGTCCTCGTCGCCGTTGACGGCGCGGATGATGTTGGCTGTCACCTCCTCGTCGGACTTGCAGCCCAGCTGGTGCGTTGCTCCCGCCCCGAGACCCTTGGACGGGTCACCCCAGTCGACGGCGGCGCTCGTCTTGCCGACCTCGATGCCGCCGAGGGCCGCGTCCCCGCCTTGCGCCTTGTACGCCGTGCCGGCGCGGGCCAGCCTGCGGAACAGGTTCTCTCCCTGCGAGTCCGACGCGCCCCAGAGCTTGCCCTTTTCGCACTTTTGCTTGACCAGGTCGAGGCAGGTCTTGGCGTCCTCGATGCTATTGTGGCCCAGAGCGCCGCCCTTCTGGATCTCGCGGGAGAGATACTTTTGGGCGAGCCATTTCAGGGACGACTTGAGCGGGGTGCCGCGGGGATGGGGGTATATGATGGAGGTGTCGATGATGAAGGGGTGGGCGAGCTGGATGGCCTTGGTGTCGGATTCCAGGGAGTGGCCAACGAGGATGGTGCGTGGAGTGAGGAGTTCAAGGAGTTTCTTCTGGATGTCGCGGAGGGTGGTCGTCACGGGTGCCAGCATCTCCTCTGTGATACCGGAAAACCGCGTGACGTAGTCGATGATGGGCTTGTCGGGTTTCACGAGTTCGTCCAGCACCACGTTTCCGTCCCAGTCGACTAAGCTGATGCGGGTCAGGGAGAACTCGCTCTCGCCGGTCATGCACATTTCGCAGTCCAGCGCCAGGACCTCTCGGCCAGCGGTGATGCTGCCCTGTTCGACTTCGGACTCGGGCACGTCGCCGTCCTCGAGCTTGTCCACTCTGGTGATGACCCATCCCTCTGGGGCGACAAACTCGTCTCGTCGTTCTCCTTCAGGAAGAAGAGCCGGGTGGATCAGATAGCCGTTCTCCGTCAGCTCCTCGGCAGAGGCCAGAAACTCGGTGATGCGCGTCCGCTCATTCTTCCATCCCTGGGGCTCCCTCGCGGGCTTGACGCCTCCCTTTTGGGACGTCTTCTCCTTCGGAGGCGGCGCGGTGAGGAAGGTGGCCAGCGGGGAGTTGAGCTTCCCGTGCTTTTCGTCGCCGGGCGTCTTGACAGGCCACAGGTGGGGGAACATGTCGGCAAACGGCTTCAGCGGCTCCGGCAGAGCGTCCTTGTCCAGCTTTCGAGGATAGTAGTCATCTGGGGAGCCGGACGAAAAGGTGCTTCCGTCTTCTTCGCCATCCACATACGCATCCCTCAGCTCGTTGAAGGTAGCGTAGTCGACGCCCTGCTTGAAGAGCGCCTCCTCCAGCCCGGGTACCATGATGGTCACAATCTTCCTGAACTGCGGCCGGTGCATGACGTTAATCCAATGGGGGGCGGTACCGTCGGCGAAAATGTAGGTGATGATGTCGCGCAGGCCGTTGAGGTTCAGCATGGACTGCAGCCGTGCGCTGGAAGAGAAGGTCAGGGCCGGGTATCCTCCCTTGCCCGGGCGAGGCATCTTCTTGGGCTTCTTCCTCGCGTGGGAGACGGTCTGCCATTCTGCCTGGTCGTCCATCTTCTTGTCGTCTGTGTTTGCGTCATGAGGACTGCCTCTCTTGAGACTGCCCTCGCTCTGGTTGAGGGAGGCAGTGTCGGTATTTATACCTGCGTCCTCGCTGGTGGCGTCGGCCATGGTTCAAAGTTATTTTTGAGTCCTTAGCGCCGGAGGCAGAAAGATCTCGGGAGAATAATCAACTCTAAAGTAGAGGTTATACCCACAATGGCTGAGCACCGCCGTAGCTGAATGAAGTCAAAGCGAAGAGGCTACTTCGCTTGGAGCGCCGAGAGGAAACAAACGTTGCCGAAGGAGCAGGAGTAGAAACGAGATTGGCCTTGCTAAGAGGCAGAGCGGAAAAGAAAGTGCCAAACAGGCAAAGATAAGAGATAAAGTCTAATGCTGAATTTCACTGGCCAGCGCCATCTAGGACGACTCACGATCAAACGTTGCTTGCTGAGCGCCAAAGGAGCTGATTGTTGGGAAGATGATGTTTTTCTTGGCTAGGCTAGGCTGACGCTCTCAAGGTCTGAATTTCTCGAGAACTGGCATCCTTATCTTATCGCAGCCCCCCCCCCCCCCAGGGACGTTTTGTTTTCAGCCAATCACAGGTCGTCTTCGGCGCCCGGGATGGATTCGCTGCAGCCTCGCGGCTCTCTAACGCGACTCCAGGCCGAATCTGGCTGCTCAGGTTGAACATTCATCACAACCCATTTCATTCAGCATCACTCATTGACAGCTTTTCTAAAGTGATATGCGGGCAAATATCTTTATTCATCTCATGTCAACAGAGCATTGATGTGCACTTTTATCTCTCATACCATTGAGCTGCAAAACCCGGTAGATTTGAACACTGCTAGCAGCCCAATGCATCGCATCCCGTAAACATAAACATTGCCGCCCTCTTTCACTTTTACATACACACGTCTTGACTCAAAAGCCCCCCCCGAAACATGGACCTGGTCGCCGTGAGGTGCGCCAAATGCGACGCAACGCTGGGAACCCTCGTCAATCTCTGGACGCAGATTGGCAAGAAGTACATCACCCCGGTGGCGTACGTCGAGGACAAGGCCGAGGCAGACAACAAGATCACTGCCACAGGCGCTGTTCGCATCGGCGATGCGGGCACTCTGGTCGAAGGCTGGTACGAAAACATCCCTCTCACCAGTATCTATCTACATCATATGTCGTACTGTCTCTTTATGAAGTGCCAATTGGCTAATGGCGAGGCATCCCTCTGGAAATAGTGAGCTTCGAGATGCCGAGTGCTCAGCGTGCCATACAAACATTGGCCAAAAGTGCTTGACCAGTCCTTCAAATCACATCTTCACCAGGCAAGCCACCACGCTTTTCCCAACAGCTCCTCTCATGCTAAACCCTGCAGTGGCCAAATCATCTTCCGCATCACGTCCATCGTCCTCAAGATAGCCACAGACCTCCGGCGCAAAGCCGAGCCCAAGATCCAGCGCATCCTCCAGCTCAGGGGCCAACCGGCCACAACCCAACCTAAACCCTCACCCCTGAATAGCAAAACTCATCCTCAAAATGACGGCACAGCCCCAAGCCGAGACACCTTCGACATCATCCAGATCCAAGCAGATCTCGAAGCCCAGCAAGATGAAATCCAGCGCATCGGCGCAGCCGGGTTCCAAGTCATGTCCACGTTCGACAGCACAGTAGCACGCTTCGAGAAGCAGATGCGGCAACTCAGCGACTCCGTCGCAAACGTCCGCCGCGAAGGCGAAGGGCAGCAGGCGGACATCAAGTCCCTCAAGACGCAAATGAGCGACGCGAAATGGAGCAGCGGCGACGGCGACGCCGTGGTGGCTCGTCTGGATCAGCAGCTCCAGACGACGGACAGAGTGGTCACGGAGCTGCGGCAAATCATCAGAAAGTCACACGCGGAAACGAGCAGTCTCCGAAGCGAACTGTCTGCCGCGCAAAAGGAGATTGCGGAGGTCAAGAGGGCGAATGCCCGTCTCAAGAAGGATGCCGATGAGGCGAAGCAGGTCGCGCAGGAAGGCGTTGCGACGGCCAAGACGTATGCTTCGGAGGTGGCTTCGCTGAGAAGAGAGATGTCGCAGCTGCGGTCTGAACTTGCGCAGCAGCAGCATGATAATATGCGCCATTCTTCGGTGGATGAAGATCCGTCTATATCGTCACATCAGCTGGATATCCTCGCCAGCAACATAGCCAAGATTGGAAACAGGGCCAGCCAGGTAGAGTCGTTGCAGATGGAGTTTGACCTCTTCCGAACCCGGATGCAGCGGCTGGAAGCCCGGGTGGTCGCTGGCAGCACGCCGAATCCTAGTCGGAAGGACATTCGCCCTTCCTTTGCCGAGTACGATAACGTTTCGGCGGCTGAAGGCAGCCAGTCTCACTACGGATCGACCACGCGTCAGAAGAGACCGCCGATGACGAGAGATGATTCCCATATTGTGAACTCAACTCCTCCAAAACGGGTGGCCATCTCGTCGGATTATCCTACCCTTGGCACGGCTGGGTATGTTAGCACTAGCGAACAACAACAATCATCACCTGGGACTATGGCCCTGGTCGAGACTCCGGTCCAGCGGCGGACGGCGGCGGCATCGACAAAGAAGAGCACGGCAAGGCGCGGCAGATGGGCCAAAGGTTGAAAACGTGTTCTCTTCATTGGCAAACGTCCATTCCTACCCCATGGTTGCCCACCCACATGGACTTGGATTCAAGACTCGAAATCCCGTCTCAAGACCTTCTTCCCCAGGCTAGCCAAGGCATCCACTTGCTTCACCACGGCAAACTCAAAGAAGGCCTGGGATTTTTCGCTGCTGGGATCCTGACGCCATTCATCAATCAGAGAGGTCTCTTTCTCCCTGCCCTCCAGCTTCTCAATGTCATCTAGCATCGCCCGTGCCTTGACAGTCAGGCCCATCTCTGCGCTTGGCAAATACTGGATAATCATGATGAGCAGCATCTGGCACAACGACACCTGATCGATTTCTCGCAGCGTCTCCTCAATCTCCTGCTCCAACGTCGCCTTTCCGGGAACAGGTACAGCAGCCGAGCCTGTCTGGGAAGCCGTTGCTGCGGCGGTATGGGAAACCAGGTTCGCCACTGTGAACAAGCCGATGAGTCGAATGGGATGATACGGCGAGGGATACTGATACGGATCGCAAGCCGTCGCGACGAGGCAGGCTACCGTCAGGGCAAAGGCGTAATTTTCCTCCTCGCTGTACAGCATGTATATTCTGAAGAGAATGTCGGGCAGCGGCGTGACGGCCCAGAGCTCCTCTTCCACTAGAGGCTCCCTCTTGCTGTACTCGCTCTTCAACAGCTTGCGCCGCTCAGACGGTGACTCGATCGCGGCCAACGCGTTCGATATGTGGTCAGCCGACTCACTGTGACGATTGATAACGTCCTGCTTGGTGGTGCTGCTGGTTGCAGGATGCTCGCGGAATTTTGACACATCCGGTACGAGACTCTGGCTGTTGAGGTTGACGCAGGGCGAGATGGCCGCGACCTGGTAGACGTTGAGATTATCCCGGCAACGAAGACATTGGCACGTAAACTTGTAATGAGCCAATGCTTCTCGTCGTCTGGGCAAAGGATCCGTTGTGACTATATGATGACGACGCATCTCGTGTAAATAGGCAGCCTTTCACTCAAGTTTGATAGTAGAGGGGACACTTACACGTATAAGCTATTTCAATCTCATCGCCAGCCCGGATGGGATTCTCGGCGATGAGGAGGGCGTTTCGCCCGATGAACTGGACCGCGGCGTTTGGAATGCAGGAGTGATTCGCCATGGCTAGAGTAGGTTCGAGGAATAGCCCGACAACACCCAAATCGGCATCAAACCTTTGAAAAGAGTTGTTCTGAATCTATCGCACGGCTGCCAGTTAGCATCAACGGCCTCCTAGTACCAACCTCACTTCTTCCCAACAAAACCAACCTTGCAGATCATCTCAGCCGCCCTCCGAATATCCTGGTCTCCCATCCCCTGCCCAGAAAAGGCACACCCCGCCATGGCCATCATCTCGATATCCCTCCACTCATCCCCATCCGCCCTCTTCTCCAGCACATGTCCCTCCAGGTCCGCCAGCCCGTTCGCAATCTCCTTCCACAGCAGAGCCTGAATCAGAGCCCTCGTCGGCGTCGGCAGCGACCTCCTCCGCTCCTCGTCTCTGAGGGTCTTGGTCAGGGCTTTGCACTCGCGCGAATGCAGCGTCTTCCACGCCGCCGCCTGGCACGCCGCGTCGCAGTATGCGGCCGCGTGGCAGCGCGAGCAGAGACGGGGCATGCCGGGGCGGAGACAGTGCGAGCAGACGCTTGTGAGGGAGGAGACGTTGGGCAGCAGGAGGAGAGGGGTGAAGGGGAAGATGACGGCGCCGGGGGGGAAGGATTTGGTTGCGTGGAGGGCGCGGCCTTTGGAGGGGTGGGGACGGACTTCGATGGGTGGAGAGGACATGATGGGCTTATTTCAAGTTAGTATGTTTGAAACATTTGAAGAGAATGATGGATTCGATGAGGGCTGTAAGGATTTGTGAGTCTGCGGTGGGCGAGGTGGGTGTAGGTGAAAAGTTGAAGATGGAGCTGAGGTTTGGAGGGGCAGAGCGGAAAGGTGGGTTGGTGATGGCTACCATAAGGTACGGTACATAATAAGCAGACACAGAACTTGGAGGAAAAGAATCGAAGCCTCGACACGTCGCTCACTGTACACTTTATTTAGGCGACGATATTGACGTCTATCGTCTGGATCAATTCAAAGGGTATCTTTATGTACAGGTTATCACGCACAGGTATTCCTCCTGCATACATACACACATATATACACAACAGCAACAACGACAGCATCAAATGCCATCTACAACTCGCCATGATCCGGCAACTTGCTGTTCGCCTTGCGCGCATCTCCCAGCCTCTGCTTCAACTCCTTGCTCCACGGCGTCCCATGCAGCTTCACCATCCTCTCGGCGTGATAGTCCCAGCATCCGTCATCCAGCGCCGTCTCCGGCGCCGCACACACCCCGTTGGCCGATGCCTTGCCCTTGGGCCACTGGCCAAGCTGGGCGCCCATGTCCTCGTCCAGGAAAGTGTCGAGAACCAGCTGGGCGACTTTCCGCTGCGCTCCGGCCCACTCCGGCCTCTCTTCCAAGAGGACCGTCAGGAGCTGCCTCATGCCGCTGTTGTCCAGGAATTGCTTTCGAATCTCCTCGTCCTTGATCAGTCCGTTGATGGCGGAGACGGCGGCCTTGACCTTTGCCGGAGAGTCGGTCACGGAGACCGTGTCCTGGTAGAAATGATCAAAGATGGTGGCACCGTCGGCGCGCGGGCACGTCGAGTCCAAGAGCTCTGGCCAGATCTTGGCGATCTCGGCGAGTGCTTTGGGGTTGTTGGACAGGGCGCCGGCGAGAATGGCGGCCGCTTGCTGGTCTCGCGGAGTGGCTCCCTCCGAAGCGTCGCCATCGCGAGCCCCCATCAAGCAGAACAGGGCCTTGACCACGTCCGCGTCCTCTGTGATTTTGAGCCCGTAGTAGATGTCGTGAGACAGCTCCTCCAGTCCTTCCAGTCCGTTGTCAAACTCCTCCTCGCTGGGTGACTCGCCGGTCTTGAGCATGTTGAACGTCTCTGCAAAGGCGATGGCTTCCGTCTGAGCGTCTCCTTCTTGCGCAGGTTCCTTGATCTTGCCCGCATTGTCGTACTTTGGCGCGCCCTTGGGGATCTGGGGGGTTTCTGGCTGCTCCTGGTCGACGAGGACCACGGCTTGGTCGACAGGTAGGCCGTCCAGATCAGGGTTGACCTCGTCGGGCACGTTGATCTTGGCCTCCTTTTGCCCCGTCCAGATGTTCAGGCGGACGTGGAGGCCGTTGGGTAGCTGCTGGTCGTCGTGGACTGTTTGGAACTCGTGCGTCGGTACGAACACTCGGGGATAGCATTCTTCCGGGTTCGATGTGTGGCAGATTAAGTCTGACTCGTCCGAGGCTGCTTGGGGTGACGGCTGTGATGATGATGATGATGCCGCTGCTGGAGCTGCGAACAAGAACAATAGGCCCAAGGCTAAGACGAATGTGAGGGCCAAAGGCCTGAGTTTTGTATGGACAGAAGGCATGGCTTTATGTAAAGGGAATGACGAAATGAAGAGACAGGATGAATCGTGGAGTGTGTCCGCTTGGATTCGAATGCAATCCAGTATGCGCACTTCGTATGTAGTTGGAAGATGTGAGAAGCTTGAAGCCGGTGATCTTATGGCGTGTACAAGATCATCTACTATGTGGCCACGCTTTCAACATGAACCGATTGTCTAAAGAAAGAAATATACAATCTAATTCTCAAAGAAAAGAGAGAGTGAAGGATGTTTAAATGAGTCAACTGCGTGAAAAGGACACATAAGAAGATGGACTAGCTTCTTGTTAAGAACGAGCAGTTCTGTCAAGCTGTCAAACTCGCTGGAGGCGAAATCTCGTACCTGAAATCTGGCGGCATCTCATTGGCGCATATGGATGACTCAGCGATCAACGTGGAATCCCGAAGAAGCACCTATTCTTTGCCACTTCACTTACAGTAGCAAAACAGAGAGATGATGCGTGTCAAACTGCTATGAGCAATGATATAGGTCTAGATATTCTCTGGCCATCTGTTGCATCTTTTCACCGACTTGATGCATGATGATGTCCTCTCCTGGGAGGATGTCGTGTCTCACATTGCTCAATGGGGCTGGGAATCAGCTGGCAAGATTGTCCTCAAAACACGAGAGCCGTGCTGAAGAAAACCTCATAAAGTAGGCACTACGTAGGAATTAAAGATGAATCTAGATGACTAACTCCCTTTGCACCACATAATAGTACAAGATACTCCCAAAGGTATGGTAGCGGGAACGTATATGAGAAAGGCCAGACGTCGTCCGTCCATGTTCGACTTCGTTTCCGCATCCGTGCGTGTTTGAGGGTTGGCTGAGCGTGCACTCCAGTGTCTCACATGTCCCCGCGAGTACTCGTATGCCATCCTGCGAACGTCGAACCTGAATTTAGAACAAGAACCATGTGGCAGGAACAGCAACGGTCTCGTCCATCGTCGCATCCGTCACGAGCTGACTGGGGAAATTCGCAAAAGTGGCTGGCCTGCAGCTGCGGCGCATGGATATAAACCAAGTCCTCATCCCAGCAAGTTGAAGATATGTTCTCATCACTCTCCCTTGCCTCCAGATTGAGAGTGAAAGCCATACCAAGCATAACCCAAAAATGCTGTCACTAATTCTCGTCTTCTTCTACCTCTTCTTCGTCGCAGTCTTTGGCCCCCACGCCATGCCGACTGGGTCTCACCACTTCAAGAGACATGAACATCTCCATACCCGAGTCCATAACCTGCGCCTCTCCCGATATACAAGCACGAATGTCAAGGCGGATGAGCCATGGCAGAGTCCGAGGAATTGGTCCGAGAACCGGCTTGAAGAAGGCCATGTCTACTGAAATGAGTATTCGGGGAAGCAACGACTTATATAATGGATGAACGGTATTACTTGATTGATGATTGCATTCTGGGAGCTCACGGCGTTTCTGAAATATGTATATTGGAATGTCACGCAATGGAAATTCACGACTTTATGGATAGAACACGAGATATAGAACAAACCAAATGTTCTTCAATAACAACACCGACGTATGAAAGCTTCAGGCCATCTTTCGTGCAACAAGAGTTCCAATGTCTCAAAGCACCATCCGCACTGTGCTCGTTACCTAATGCGGCACAAAGGCTAGCTGCATTAGAAATCCTCATCCTCGCATTTCGCACCTCGTCAAGACAGTTGCCGACTCGAGATCGCACGGTCCCAGCCTTCGCAGCTCCAGCTCCCAGCAATGCGCTCCAATGAATTGACTGGGTCCCGACTATCCATCCATTAGGCCACGCGTTTCTCGGTCGCCTGTCTCGAAGCTCGACTGTGTTTATTCTCCTCGTCCTCCTTCTTCTTCATCGTCAACGAACTTGGCGTACATACAAGCACGGCTTGTGTCACAAACGAGAAACCGCCGCTCCTGCGAAAGCGACAACCTTCGAACCAGGGCAATTGGAAGGGCCGACCACGAAACTCCTCGTTGAATAACCGAGCTATTAGGCAGCTTGCGTCCAGACAGATAGATTCCAGCTCCGGATGCTGCTCTAGAGCTTGTCGACTCCTCCACCTCTTCGTCCAGCGCACTCCTCATCCTCGAACCGCAGAGCGCGCGCCGCGTCGACAACCCACAGCGAAATCCGACACGATGCCTTCCCCACGACGGATGCGCCTCCTCATGGTGGCCGTCGTCATCACCGTCGTCGTCATGCTCTTCTACAGCTCCGGCATGGAGCCGGAAACCGACGTCAGTTTCAAGGGCTTCTACGAGAAAACAAAAGAGGCCATGGAGCGAGGGACGGCGCGCGGGCAGCCCGTCATAAACGCCAAGACGGGCGAGAAGGCGGGCCACATACCCGCCGACAGAGACGGCGACGGCGACATTGACAGCGACGACAAGGTCGCCGCACAGGAGCTTCAGGAGCGGCTGCAGGCTGTTGCGCAGGAGGCAAAGGACAAGGCGAACGAGAAGAGCCCCAAACCCGACATCCCCAGCAAGATCATTGGCGTGGGCAGCTCGGCCGAGGGGCAGGAGAAGAAGGGCCAGGTCAAGGTGGGCGGAGGCGACGTAGGGGAGAGGGTCAAGTCCGAGGGGAAAGAAGAGACAAAGGAGGAGCACGAAGCCGAGGTGGAGATTAACAGCATCCTGAAGAAGTCGCCCGGTATGTCATCGCACTCATCTTTACTTTGCACTATGCTCTCCTTCATCGTAGCTAACGTTGCGGATGCGACCAGTCATCATCTTCTCCAAGAGCTACTGCCCGTATTCGAAGCGCGCCAAGGGCATCCTCCTGGAAAAGTACACAATCACTCCAGAGCCCTTTGTCGTCGAGCTGGACGAGCACCCGCTCGGTCCCCATCTGCAAGACTACCTCCTCAAGAAGACGGGGCGCAGGACGGTGCCCAACATCTTGATCAACGGAGTCAGCATTGGCGGTGCCGACGACATTGTTGCGCTGGATAACGAGGACAAGCTCGTGGCCAAGGTGCGCGATCTGGGCCAGGCTCGCGTGGAGATCTCACAGCGGTTCACCCCTGGCGAGCATCAGTGAGGATGTGAAATCAGAGCGAAGTCCCTTGCTTGTATTTCTTCTCCTTCTTCTTCTTGTACTCTCTCCTACTTGGCCCTTCTCGCTTGGATCAAAGTTGAGATTTGTGGCTAGTATAGGCTAATTGCTTCTCTTGGGACGTGGGCATCAGGGGCTGGCGACACCGAAATGGCTGGTATGTCGAAGTCGAGTATGCATGACTGGAGTTTGGCGTTTGACGGCCCTGTATAAGTCAGCTACTAGTACCCAGTACCTTAGGTACCGGTAATATTGTTATCGCAGTACAGCTCGGCTGGGGAGTGGAATTGTGTGAAATGCAATGTTTGGCCAGAGAAGAAGATGGGGCAGCGGAGCGTCAAAGGAGTCCAACTGAGCATGCAGCCGTCCAATTCCACAGCCACGGCATCTAAAGGTCCGGCTAGGTGTTCACTCAACCAGATACGCTCAACAGAAGTCTTGAAGGAATAAAGAGAGAAGCGAAGATAGTCAAGCCGAGATAAGGAGGCACCTACAAGGCAGAGAGCGCGCCCTCGGTACCTGGGCGTGCCTTATTTCTCACCACTGAAGATAGCGTCATATCCTGCATCTCCTAGCTTCAGGTTGTAGCCAGGCATCATGGCGGTTAAAGAGGGAAACAACGCAGACATCAGCATGCCTTCCTCATCGTGAATTAGTTCGAGCCAATCAAGTTCGCTCAACATCATCATCATGACCTTGCTCTTCTTCTTCATCTTCCTCTTCCTCTTCTCTTCCTCCTCTCTCCAAGGTCAAATCGCCCATCCTCTTCTCAACCCCTCATCTCAATCTCTCATTACCTATTTATCCAGAAACGAGCCCGTTGCCAAAAACGCCACGATGCGCAGTCCCAGCGTCGTCCTGTTCTAGCCCCTCCCCAGGCGCTATCTGTTATCAAGCATTACTGGCGATTCCCCCACTAAATGCAGGGATGCGCTGCAGCTGGAGGGCGTCTGAATGGCCAGAGGCCTTGGGGTTTATCAACAACCGGGGGGATAGAGCCGGGTTCAATGTTCCTTTCGCTGTCAGATCCTCAGCAGCAGCAGCAGCGAGATATTACAGAGACAGCGTGATAATAGATGGTTGAGCCAACGCCAGGTTGCGCCGTCAAGTTGATGTCTGCTAAATTCCTGGCTTTACTAACAAGGCAATACCAGTGACGAACGATAATACAGGACGGGCTGGACCAACCGACGACAAAGAGAGCCACGAGTCAAGGTATGGCATCAGTTGCTAGCGTCTTGTGCCACGCGCTGGCTCCATGTGCTAGCTGCCAGCACCCGGCCGGTGTGTGAGCATGCGTGAGAAAGAGAAAGGAACAGGAAACCGGGGAAGCGACAGGACGAGAAGTTGCAAAAGCGTGGGGATGGCCCGGCAAGCCGCTTCTCCTGCTGGCAGCCACAGCTCGCTCGACCCCATGCCCGAAGCAGAACCGGGCCAGGCCAGGATTCGAGACCGCAGTGACCACACCATCAACCGCAAGCTGAGCCTACAAGTGCCTACGAGGACTATCTTTTATCTCGCTCGCACTTCTAGCCTGCCTTGCTGCTCTTAGTCGGTGCCGGCAGCAGTTGGGGATCGCAGCAGAATAAGAAGAGCCTGGGCGCGCCACCCCCTCACGCATTCTTCTCTTTCTCTGTAATTCAGTCCAATCCAAGCCATCCGCCGCTACGCCTGTTGTTTTTTTGATCAACTTTCTTTTTGGCGTCTCTTCACTGCCCATTGGCCTTCTGTTCTTTCTGTCTTGGGAAATCAACCCAGACAGACAGCCAACGAGAAAAGGGCAGCCCCCGTCTATTAGTGCTGCTCCAGTGGTCAAGCCTCGTCTTGTCGTCGACATCCTAGACCGGACTGCGTACCCTCGGTCAAGAGACGGCGGACTCACCGACCGGCCCTCGTGTCCCGAGTCGCATCATCAAGCTGCAAGCTTGCGTCAACACGGCTGCCAGAACGCACCAAAACCAGCGAGTCCGACCGTTGAGGGAAGCATCACACTTTTCTGAGGGTTCTTTCGCCTCTGCCATATACGAGTGCTCCCATACGTTACATCGCACCCAGCCATGTCCGACGCCCCCTCCAACACCGCCTCTGCCCTGCGGCGTCCATCCACCAGCTCCGAGACATCCTCCCTCTCGTCGGCCTCAACCGCCTACACCACTTACAAGGACAAAGAAGGCCAGCCGCTGCTGGATGTCCACGAGCGCAAAGTGAAGAGGGGCCTGCGCCAGAAGGCTCGCGAGATGGTGCACGACATGGGCAGTCCGCCCACCGCGCGACAGGATGCAAAGGACGGCAAGGTGACGCTCAGCCATGCCCCCTTGGGCGGCCTCATAGGCCAGCCCTTGATGAAGCCGGGCCAGATTTAGAGGTGGAACGTTGTCGACTGGTTGATCATATACTGGCCTGCTTCTTCATTGGTCGCCCGGAGTTGGTTGCCCGGAGCTTCTGTTGCATTGCATCGCAGCGCATGTGCGTGGTCTACCGAAAGGAAAAAGAAAAATCACGACGGAAATGATGTGTGAAAACGGTTTCGGCGTTTACTTATTTGGCTGGTCTCCGATGGCTCTGTTTGTTCTTACCTTTCTCTCTTCTTTAACCTGGGAGGTCAGTTGCATTGACGGGGTTGGAAAATACTTACTATTCATCGACGTTTTATTACCTTTCAACGATACTCTTGGATAGAAGACAATCCACCAAGAGGGAAAAGGATCAAAAGCAAGTTTCTGCCTTTAGTCAAACGTCACAAGTCTCGTACAAGTAGTGGACGTAGTGTGCCGTCTGTCTTGCTGTCCTTAATTCTTACACACATGGAGCCCGGCCATGTCTCTCGCCCAATCCCAATGTCCCTGGCATGGGTAGCGGTACAAAACCCGAATGATTCCCCGACATGCATAGCCCGTAAATGTCCCATAGAGGCAAAGAAAATGATGATGCGCGTTGTCCAGCATCGCGAGTCTATAACGGGGAGGCGATCGATCCCAAGATCCGATGTTCCGTTACACAGCAAACTTGATACCTCCCACCATGGATAAGCCCGCCCCCCTTTATGAATGAGATTAGAATCCAGAAAAAAAAGAAGGCAATAAAAGAGCCCCCGTTTGCATGAAAATGTACCCAACGCCTCGTACCGTCTTGCCGAGAACTTGAAAGTTATCCTGTGGTGTGTGTATGTTGTTTGTTTCCCCGTGAGTATATTAGCTCCCGGAGCCCTTTATTTGGTGTAAGGTATTTTGTTGGTGTGAGTTGTTGAAGTTGGGAGATTGTCGTTGAATGATATACAATGTGAGTTTTGCTTTTTGTGCAATTGAAGATGGAAGTAGGCCTTTTGTTTTGGCTGCAGAGGCCGAGATGAGAAACTGGGATGCCCGTCTTTTCGATTTTGTTAGGCTCATTGCACTGGGATTGTTGTCTCGCCGGTGAGGAAATGCTCAATGGCATCAACACCAACTTGCCTATGATGATAAAACATCCAATTAGCATCCCACATCTCAGATTAACAAACATCAAAAAGGGGGTGGAGGGGGTTGGGATGACAACTCACGTAGTCAGCATCAGCTTCGTAAACTCATCCATATCGTCCGGCCGGGCATACATCCAAAACTCCTTGAAGCTCAGGTCCGTAATGCAGTACTGCGGCTTCTCGCGCCAGGCGCGGAAGAACTCGACCGAGGACGTGGCCTCCCAGAGGTGCCGCGAGGCCGTGAAGCTGTGGCCGTCTTCCCAGAAGTCGGCGGGGGCTGGGTTTTGGTAGTAGTATGAGTAAATTGGGCGGCTCATAATCATCAACGGGGAAAGAAGGGGGGCATACGAACCTTCTTCGGACTTGAGGACGAAGACGAGACACATGAGGGCAAAGGCGATCATGATGGTCCGCCTCGTGCATTCGAGCAGGATCCAGCTCTGCAAGAAGAAGGAGAAGTTAGTATCTCCGTGTGTGAGAGAGAGAAGTAGGTGTTGAAGTATATGCAACTCACCTCCCAGCTCTTTGGCGGCTTGTCTCTCGTCATGAGAACCGACGGCGGAAAGCCCTCTTCGAGCTCATTCTTGACCACGACCAGGTCCTTGACCCACGCCAGCATCACGCTCATCTCCCTCTCCGCCGCCGCCCGCATGCTCACGTCTCCGTCAAAGATGCGCATCGAGTTGAGCAGCAGCAGCGCCTGCACCCTGGCCAGCCGGTCCGCGTGCGTCGTCGCCCTCTCGCCGTCCCGATGGACCTCGCGCACCGCGTCCAGCAGCACCTTGAGCGTCCAGCCTCGCGTGGCGGGCGTGCGCGTCGAGTAGGCCGAGGCGGCGGCAAAGGCCGTGGTGATGGTCTTGGGCAGCTGCGCCATCCAGAGGCGCGGGTGCATGAAGGGGGCCTCGCGCCGCTGGGTGAAGGTGACGTACATGTCCGATATGCTCTTGACGATGAAGCCGATCTTGCTGCGGGGGTCGTGGACCTGCAGCACGTCGGAGATGATGCACTGATCCTCGTTCTGCAGGATCGAGAGGTCACGGACGGGTTGCTGCTGCTGCTGTTGCTGCTGCTGCTGTTGTTGTTGCTGCTGTTGCTGCTGTTGCTGATGTTGTTGCTGCTGTTGCTGCTGCTCCTGCGATTGCATCGGCTGCTGAGTCTGCGTCTGCGTCTGCAAGGGCGGTACCACGGGCACCGGCGGGAGGTCCATCTTGCTGCCGACCCCAAAGCCCGTCAGGTCCCACAGGCTGCCCGGGCCAGTGTCGTCGCCGGCGGTCATCAAGTCGACGATGAAGCCCAGGTCCGGCGTGTGCTGGTGCTGGTGGTGGTGGTGCTGCGCCTGGGGGTCGCCGCCGAGGTGCAGGGTCCCGTCCTGCTGGAGGCTCTCGGGGCTCGTGTTTGTGCCGGTTGCGGTGCCGAGGCTCTCGATGTCGAAGCTCATGTCGAACTCGGGCGGCATCTCGGGCGTGGAGCAGCTGCCGTCGACGGCGGAGGCGCACGACGAGGACGTTGTCGCCGTGGAGGCTGTGGTGGTAGAGGCGGAGGCAATGGGCGGCGATGAGTGCTGGTGTAGATGGCGCTGTGATGAGAGCTGTGGCTGCTGCGTCTGTGATTGTGATGAGAGCTGCTGGGACCCCAGTTGCTGAGACCGCTGCTGTGACTGATTCTGTGTCTGTGTCTGTTGCTGCTGCTGCTGCTGAGGAAGAGTCGACGACGCAGAGGGAGGAGGCTGTCGCTGGTAGACGCAGTCCAGGCCCTTGGTCGCGCACCTCGAGCATCTGGGAGTCCGCTTGTCGCAGCGCCGCTTGCCTCGGACGCAGGCGTTGCAGCTCTTCTGGCGCGACGCCGCGCCGCCGTCGCCATTCATGCGATCCAGCTTGCGCAGGCCAGAGCCGAGGCTGCTGAGCGGGCTCGTGTCTGTCCCGGCACCGGTGAAGTCCATGGGCGGCGAGGGAGGTGAGGAACCAAAGGTGTAGCTGTGCTGCTGTAGCTGGTCGTACAGCGAGGTCATAGCAGCAAGCTACAGTACGAAAGTATTATGGCGTTATATGGATCAATTGACAAAGCTGCGGCTGCAGGATAGTAAAATAAAAAGATGAAAATGACAAGGCAAATGATGATGAAGAGGAAGAGAAAATAGGCTAGTCTGAAAGGACAGGGGAGATTGAACTGTAGGTACTTGATAGAATGTTCTGATGGTGAAAGGAGTTAAAAAGATCGGTATCGCCCGCCGGGACGATAAAGATGCCCAAAAACCGAACGCCACAATTTCTCTTCTATCAGTACCGCCTACCTATATCTGACAGCACCGTTTTGCCCAGAATCTCTTCTCAATTCTTTTCAAATCCTTTTCCTTCCGTCATCGCTTCAGCAAACGGTTGATGACACGACACGCGTCCCCGAAAGAATAGAGGAAAAGGTATCCTGACGTAGAATCGAGATTCGCCCAATCGAAGCTCGAAATGCCCATCCCCTCATACCAAAACCAGGTAGACACTACATATTTCATATGAGAAGCCGAAGCTGCAGTGACAAACTCCGGCAAGGACCCCGAGGACCCGGAGGGCTGTCAACCTTCCCCAAGTCCGCAAGTCCGCTCCGCAAGTCCGCACCTCTTCAGCCTCAACTCTCACCTTTCGCTCAGCCCATAAGAACCAAGTCCGGGGCCTCTTTTTGCTGGAGACAACCGGCGATCCCCGCCCCGGCTGACCGTGTTTGAACAAGTCGGGTTAAGGTGGTTTTTTATTTTCCTAGTCAGTCAGCTAGAGAAAAGAGTTGCAAGTCATCAGTCAGATACTGTAGTGCCGCATCACACCACACAAGGCACGGATATATATAAGCTGGATGACTCGACAAGCTTGACATGGCTGCGCCACTTGAGTCGTTCCTATAATGTTTCTTGTCCTTTGCTCACGTTGTTTAGCAGCAGAGCCTCGTCCTGCCATGACACATCCTGCGCATAAATGAAAGAACATAAAGCAAAGAATGGGAATGACCGGGCAGAGAGTTGCTAATATCGCAGACCCTTCAGATGAGGTCATCACAAGCGAACGTCTTGACCTTGGACAACTGCATTTATCAAACCTCACAGCACCCGCACGCACCAACATGGCATGTTATCAGATGCACCGTATTTGTATTGCATCGTGCAGATTTCAGCGTTAAGTTAAAACACCCTGCTTGGGGGGAAACCAAAGGCATTGTTCAAGGCCCATATTAAAGCCTCTTCAATTTCGTATTTCCAGCATCATTCAGTACTCGTATAGCTTTACAGCAATCCTGCCGTGGCTACTCCGCATCCTGCATCGTCATCGGAAATCAACGACAATGGCTGGCATTGCCAGTCAGCCTCCACAAACGGCCGACGGCATCCAAAGGTACTTGCCTTCCCCAAGCTTTCTTAGCAAATGGGTATATACACCGCGATAGCCTCCTCAGAACCAAGCATTTCTTCTCTCCCTTTTTGTATAAACGTTCCGTTACAATGATCCCTTTCCTAAGTCCACCAATCCCTCATCCTGGCAGCCCAGCTGAGACTAGCTTTTGTTTCCGCCGCCGTATTTGGCACAAGGTGAAAAATCAAAGAACGCCTCCGACCAAGACCGAATCTGGTGAGAAAACCACAAAACAGTCCAGTACCTATTAAAAAGGAAAAGAGAAGATAGAAGGTTGAAGATGACGAAAAAAAAAAGGGGGAAAAGAAGGGAAGATTCGGGTCAAGAAAAGGGAGACGAGTAGAAACGTCTGCCGCAATTATACAACCATCTTCCGGATCAAGGTTCTCAAGATCCCCAAGATAGCAAGAGGATAAAACCAAGATCAGAGTCTATCAAGACAAACTCCCAGTTCCAAGCCGAGCCTTCAAACGTCGGTCTGCTGGGGTAAAGGATTTTTTTTGGTTTTGTTTTCTGTTTTTGTGAACAAGGCGAACAGCAATCGATCCAGGTCATCTCATCGCAGAGTGACATGACGACATTGCGTCGTCAATATCGTCGTCGTCGTTCTCTTTCGTCAAGTCTCTCTCCGCATGCTCATTTAATCATGCGAATAAGTGGGCATGGCATAGAAAGCGTATATGAGCACCGCCGTCATGCCAAGCGTAGACGACCGTTATGGCGGGGGATAGCCCGTCGTGCCATAGTCTGGCGTAGCATAGCCCGGTGCGGCATCTTCTGAGATTGCTTCCTGCAACATATGGCATTGGACAAGCTCGAGACCTTCAATTGGCGTTCCCTAGTATCGCTCTTGTCGGTATCCGTTGGTCCGTGGAGCTTCGTACTGCACGCCCGTCATGGAATCCGGGCCGCTCGGGATGCCGTTGCTGATGGACCGGAGAGGCGGCAGCTCGGTCCGAGGCGCGCTCGCATACGGATCAGATGAGTAGGGAGCCGCCTGGCCGGCGTGTCCCGGGGGCGGTCCTTGTCCGTGCTGGCGGTCCATGCCGCCCGCATACTGAGTGTGCTGCTGCTCCATTCGCATTCCCGACAGCTCTCGCCGCAACATGTCATTATCGGCCATGAGCGAGTTGATGTGGCCTTGGAGGAGCCGAATGTGGTCACTCTGTCTCTGGTGCTCAGCGATGGCTAGCGACGCATTGTTAGCCCACCTGCACAGGCGCCAGGATGAAATACGCGCGACATGTACGAACCTTTGGTGAGAATTTCCCACTTGGATGCCTTGGATCCCCGCTCCTGCGGCATCAAATCACGCAGCTGATCAAACAGCTCCTTCATCTCGGTTCTTCGTTTCCGTTCGGCCAGCTTATGGCTGACTCGCAGCTCGGGGGTTCTGCTGTAGGGCTGCGAACCGGAGGCCCCATTGGACTCCTCGGCTTGTAGGTTGCTCAGCTGCTTGTGCGGAATGGTGTGGTGGTGAACAGGGGGGAAATCGGATGAGTTCATCCGCGACAGCTGGGAGCCATCTTCAAATCTGCGCTGACCCGCAGGCAGTCTCGACTCTGTCGTGAACTGGCTGCTGGCGATGGACTCGGTGATGCTGCTGCGGCGAGAGACATCATAGGACGAGTGGTTGTTCAAGAGGTTGTTGCCAACCCTCTGGTTGTCACCTCCTCGAAGATCGTCCTCAGGGAAAGCCCAGGCCTGACCCTTAGTCGGCTCGGCTGCACGGGCAATGAGCCCGGTTGTAGGACCAGTAATCGTAGGAGCGGTTCGCACGACTTTGGCAGGCTCTGGGTTTCGCTCAGCGCTGGGCAGGTATCCGTTTGAGATTCGGTGCACGGCAAGGGCCTCGAAGTTGGGCCTGGGATTGCGCTGGTGGTGCAGGGTACTCTGGATGGAGGATGTGGACTGGTTGTTGCTGGTGTATGGAGAGCCGCCTAATCGCATATCGCTGAAGTTTTGGTTGATTCTGCTGTCTACGCTCTCACGCCGGCTGCCTGCAACAGAGGCGAGCCCTTCTCCCAGGGTTGCCCCTGACATGCTGGCCGTGTCCAGCGAAGTTGGTCGGTCGAATCTCCGATCAATCGGGTTGGTAGGGTTGGGAGAGACCATCGAGGCCACGCTCATGTTGCTGGCAGCTGGTGAGACCAAGGCGTGAGGTAGCATGTTGGTGGCGACGGGGGAGGGCGTCTTGTCAACGGACGAATAGCCAGATCCGGCCGGGCTGAGACCAGCGGTCGTGAAGGAGGCTGTAGAAGCGTCTGTTCAGCAAATCGTGAGCAAATGAGAGGGAGGGAGCAATCCGGAATTCAACTCAAGGCGACCTACGCTTGCTTGACGTCTCGTGGGTCGAGTAGAATCCAGAATCGCGCAACTGGGGAGCGGGAGCAGCTGGTACAGCGGACGAAGGGGCTTGCTCCTCGCTGTTGAGGATGTTGGGGAGTCCCGCCATCTTGCTGGGCAGCATTCGCTGCTGCGTCTGCGTTTCCATTCTACCAACGATGCGGCTGTGAGCGATCGCGTAGAAGGAGGGTGCCTCGGCCGTGGAAGGGAGGAGGCCTGGAGGTCTGGATATCGGCGGCTACCTGTAGGTATCCAGCCAAGAGACGAGGGCAGAGGAGGGTGGCGACGGCCTGCTCAGGACAGCGGCTGGGCAATGGTGATCGAAAGAATGCTGTGCTGCGGAATCGAGTCGACGGGAAGCCCAATGCTGGCACTCTCACGGTGGTGAGCAAACACGGGTAGGGAATGGACGGGAATGAGGTTGCTTGGCAAGCGAGCGCGAAGCGAAGCTCTCGCTCACTGGAAGAGGCGCGAGCAACACAGACACGAGGGGCTAGGAGAACCTCTGGGCCGTCATGTGAAGCTGCGCCGTGGATCAGAGAGGAAGAATACTATGCTCGGGGGGGCAGAAGAGGTTCAGAGGGGCATAAAGTATGAGCTCTGGCATGAATGGCGATGCGGGAGAGAGGAAGAGAAGAAGAGGCAATGGAAGGCCGATGTGAGATTTTGGAATTGGACTTTTTGGGGGGGGTCGGAGAAAAAGGTTGGATAGGCGAGGCACGCTGTACTTGACAATGTAGGGGAGGGCCACAGCAGCTCTTGTACCCAGCCCGCAGCGCCTCAGGGCGTGCCGGCTCGCGAGGTCTCCGCTACCTGTGCCTGTGCCTGTGCCCGTACCGGTACTTGTGCCCCCAGGTCCTGAGCATCCACTCGCAGCGCTGGAGCACCTTGGTGGTCCTGACTGGCCAGAGGCCCGAATGGGGGAGCAGGGCGGTAGCTCAAAGCCGCAGAGGCCTTCTCCAGAGCCAACGCGACGTCAAAGAGCGCACGCACTGCAATTGCCTGGCCGCTGTTCACACTGGCACAGACGCAGCACGGGGGGGATTGGGGCCAGGACTGGGATATGGACCAGGGGGCTGGAGGACGCCGAGCAGGGCTGTCCACAGCGGGTATCCTGTACAAGTACTTGGACGCAGTAAGAGCGCGGGTACTCGCAACAATGGATCAAAGATGGCGGCCAGACTGAAGAGAGCACCGAACTCAATGCCACGAGGCACGGCGTACAGTGTGAAGGGTATCGCGAATGGCCCGAACCTCATGGATCCCATGGCGCGAAGTAGCGCTACTTGGCGAGGTTGGCATCGCTTCGAAGAATGATGAGCCTGGAGGCCTATGTTCCAAGATTCCAAGATTAATGGCATGTTGGCAGCTCTGCTAGTACCTGCACATACACTTCGCCGCGATACGATGCCCGTTGGAACTACGAGGGAAGCATCGGAATAAAGCATCCAACCTTTTCACCATCCCAACAGAGATCAGAAGCCATCCACAACGCCCTCTGCCATCCACGACAGGGGCCTAACAGGGCTGCTACCTTGCCATTCGCAGCATCGAACAAAGTCTCTGCAGAGTACGTTGGCGAGCGCTGGGTAGCATGGAGCACTGTATGAAGGCAACCGCCAGATCAATCAAGTATACTGTACGGCCACCGCGGAACCCAGACTCTGAGGCTAATACCGCCGAGAATCTGGGGGGGAGTCCACACTGGACGGTTACAGACACAGCCTGAAAGACACAGACCGATTGTCCTCAACGAACTCGAACGGTCGCCGGCAGAAAGGGCAGAGCAGCGTCGGGCCTCTGCCACAGTGGCCAGTACCGCATACGAGAACATGCTCCTGGATGTGGTGCTACTCCAGACTGGGAGCGAAAATCAATGCAATGCAGGCAACCTGGTGCTACTGCAGCTAGCAGCTAGCAAGTCGTGCGCACGAGAGCCACCAGGACGATAGACAGAACGGAACGGCCTGGGCGATAGGCGCACCCCCTCGGCCCTGTTGGCCGCAGACGCAGACGCAGATTGGCTTTGGATCCTGCCCCCGGCATGGCTCTCCCTGGGCTGTGGGCTGACGCGGATGTTTGAATCACGGCCGGCAGCATACCGCCGTTGTCCTCTGCCATCTAGATCTGGCATCACAACCGGCCCTCTTTTGGGGAGCCAGGGGTCGGGAGCGGTCATTGCCTCTCTTCGTTTTTTGCTTTTGGTGACGAACTCTCCACGGAGTGCAGGTATGCCTCTTTTCGGTCTCGGGGCTCTTTGCTTTGACGCCGGCACTGCCTATCTAGGCACTACCACTGCTATATTAAGATTCGTTGTTGAGCACCATAGTTGGACCACGGTGTTTCCGAGACGGCGCAGCTTCCGGTAGGGCTATGAACAGCCAGAAACAGAGGCTGAAGCCAGTTCGTTGTAGGGGTTTGCCGGCGAGGCGCCTCGTTTGTGACGGCGGCTCCAGTCCACTTCGCTCAGAGCTCAGCAACAGAGTGCGGCTTGCGTAGCTGCACGCTACTCACAATGCTGTTGCTAGTAGTAGTAGTAGTAGTAGTGCCCTACTTCAACGGTGGCTCCTAGCGAGGACATGAGCTGAAAGGCCTTGCAATTTTCTTTATCTCTATTCCGCCGCCACCACGGAGCCACCGTCCTTCTTGTCCACAGCCACTGGCCCAGCAGATTGTGGTTGAGAAGCTTGACAGGTAATATTCGGGGGATCCAAGAGGTTAGCATGGCGGTCAATAACTAGCTTTGGGCGCGATCCTTGTAGACTACCAGTAGGCTCTGGCACAAGCGAAACCTCTCTCTCTACCATTGCAATTCCCACGGATACTGTACAGCGCTCGAAGTGCTTGGATGGTTGATGATGAGTTGTGGTGTAGCAGTAAGGTAACCCTACAAGCACGGCGCTGCTGGAGGCACCCTCTCCAGCCCGCCTGCGTCCATGGTATGGTAACACTCAATAAGCATCTCCAGACGAAGACCATCTACTAACCGCGTGGTGATTCGCAGCATCTCTGCGCACTACGATCCAACCCTGCCCTGTTACCCCTTCCATGTAGTACGTACACACGATGCTGCTCTAGTCAGTAGCACACGTAAGGACCATTCGACAAGCAATCAATGGCCCCAGACGCCGCACGGACGGAGCCCAGGCACGTACATGTGGACGGATTGGCCCGACTCTGGACGAACTTGTGTCCCTGTGCGAGGGCATTTCCTGCACGCGGCGTCGCACTGCTGCTACTAGCTGGTACCACCTTGCCGAAGGCAGGTGGTAGATGTCTTGGGTTCTGGCTGGAATTCAACCTTCTGCGCCAGGTTGTGTGTATCTCGTACGTATGGCGTTGATGATGGCAGTACTTCGGACCTCAGGAGGCATCACCGCCACGGCTTGATGCCCACAAGAGTCGGTACTTGTACGGCAAGAGACAGGCGCAGCCCTGGCCGCCTTTAAGGTACCTTCTACTTCCTTGTTAGCCAGCTCCAACAAGCACGTGTTGGCGAGGTGCTTCTCACCTCTTCGTTTGGACATGGATCCTGGAGGGCGGGGGTCTGGCTATAATCGCCGATGGGTGGGATTTTGTTAGGTTAGCTACATTATGTACCTGCTCGTAGCGGTGCTGCTACGACCAAGGTGGTAAGTTACATCTGCGACACGTTTCGCCCTAAGGAGGGCGGCACTTGAATCGCTTGTATGGAGACGTCGTGAGCATGTTTGCTGGATGGAAACCAAGGCGCGCGAGACGGCGGACAGCCAAGGGAGATTCTCTGGATAGCGGAGAGAGTGCTGCAATTCAAGATAACCTTACAGGCACCTTATCGGCATCCGTCAGCCTTCTGATAGCCCGCCAAGATTCAGTCTTCCCCGAATGATAGGGGTCAGCTGGCAGCCTCGCGGTGTCCAGTACCGGTACCTGACCTTGCACCCCGGCCTTGCGCAAGCCCTCCGTACACGGTACTGGTACCCCGTTAGTAGTAGACACAGGTGCGGCCGACACCCGCCGTTCTCGAGGCAAGTGCAAGCCTCGCGTCACCCCTTTCCCTCCAACTCCAGTTGTTGATTCTCACGGCTACCTCTCCTCCGTACTGTACGCAAGCTCGTCTTCTCCCCGCACCAAACAAGGCTCAATCAATCCATCGACTCTCTATGGCTGCGCTCCCCAGGTCTCCATTTTCACATGATTTGAGCTCATTTCGCCTGCTGCTCCCGAGACCAGGCTGCTTCCGACCAATCTGAGATGATGTGCGCTCCGTCCTCGCATGCTGCTCTTTGCTGCTCTGGGGAGGCGGGGAGGCACCGGCATACGAAGTTACACAGCAGATGTTTCTGGGGCGTCGGATCTACCATCTCTCTCAGCGCTCGGCGCATACATGGTGTACTTGCTGTACACACGCCGATACGGATGCCTGAAAGGAGAAGAACTGGCAGGTAAAGGCGAGTATAAGAAGTGAACAGAGAACAGAGTGGTTGTACGGGGTGCTTGCTGGGACCTCGGACACAGTACAAGAAACACCGCAGTAGTATTTGTTTCATCACTTGGTCAAGAGCTAACGGATTCCTTGTCCTACAGGGGCCAATAGACCGCTATTGATTTCTCCTGGACTAACCAAAGAATTATCGGATGGAATACTACAAGGACCGCAACATCAATGTAAGCGACTGAGCAAAAGCAAAACTGAAGCGTGCTGCGAGAGCCGTGGTTGAATCCTTTCGCCCTCACGTTGCTTCGCCTACACTACTCTATGTGGCTTCGCATGCCAGACGATTAGTATATACACGCCCCTCCGGCACCCAAAGCTTTGGGCGGGCGCAAGCACGTTCCTACCCGGCAAGGGTCCCTCGGGCTGTCAAAACGTGACTCCCATTCAGTGGCAAAATGCTTGACACAGACAAAGGCCGAGCCCTGTAATGCTGAACAAGTACAGTACCGGAATGGTCACCGACGTCTCAAGAGGGACAGCCGTCTCTTTGCAAGAAGGTGTGACGGATGCGTCTTCGAAAGATGACGGCATAAACTGCCACTGAGGGACGGCACTCCCAGAAGACCCTGCAATGTCCGTTGGAGGGTCCTTTCTGCCATTTTGACGCTATCCTCCGTGACCCGGCCGCAACAGTCCCGCTCACAACATGCTAGAACCTGGACAAGGAGGGG